AAAAGAAATAGATAAAATAGATAAGCAGGATGGTTCATATTTCAACTTTGATCATTCCCCCAAAATATAGAATGACATACTCCTTCATATTCTTCGTCCATTCAACTTTTTGGCCTGAATTCCTGGGAGACAAGAATGCGTAAGTGGATGAAAGTCCAACTGCAGGAGTAATTTGAATGAAATTGGAGAAACGGTTCATTTTAGCCAAATATAAGTATGTCCTACATGAAGTAACGTTACCAATTGTCCCTATTGCTTTTCGCCTAGAACGTCACAAAATTCAAATGCCTGTAGGTTTGGTACTTTTTCGATAAAATTCTGGCCCGAGTCGCAGTCTTTTTCAGTAGTCGAAGATGGCGCGTCCTTTTTTTAATACAGATTTTCAATGCAGATTGTTTGGTTGCTGCTGAATATCCTGGGAGTTTTTGAGCAGAATTTGAATATTTGAGTCTGGCTGATATCTGAGAAGGAATTATATCCTTGTGCGATACCAGCCATTAATATGAGAAATATTAGTTTTCCACTGCGAGGATGAAGTCTAGGTAGATGGAGATATTTCTGACAAGAGTTCAAATTACCCACTGAGAAAAGATGGTATTCCTCAAATTAGAACTGAGGTAGTAAGAGCGAAGGCCTAAAGTGCGAAGTTTAGTTACAAGTTCCAGAAATCAAGGGAGACGCAGTTCTCGTCAAACAAAGTTCACCAGAAATGTCAGCGAGAATTGGATATCAGCTGGAAGATATATCGCGATGTATGTCACTTTGATCATATGTTTCACGCTTCTCTGTTGTATTTCACAGCGCTTGAATCTTTCTCAAAGAAGTTCTCTTTGTGAAATAGATAATATTCTAACGAATGATTATAACAGTATAATCAAATCTGCGATTTCATTGTCACTATTTTATCCTGTAATTTAGACAATTTAGATCTAGATGGTTTGCGAGAGCAGAAGAAAGCAAGTGAAGATATCATTGGCCATTTGAAGAAAGAACGAGAATTAATCTCATTGCAGGTATATTGGTTTGCTATTTTCAGTGCATATGTCTTGGTCTGAAATTATTTTCACATTATTAATACTTTTACAGTTGGATGACCAAGTAATCAAGATATTTTTCATCGTTCCCGGTGAATTAATGGTCGTAGCTCTCTGATTATTTCAGTGTTATTCAGATTGATGAATTGCGTATGAAACTGAACACGCTAGATACGAGAATAGGAAAAGAGGAAGAAATTTGTTCACGTTTGGAAAGAACGATAGCGCATGCAAATGAAACATATGAAAAAGTATGTATCTGCAGTAATTCAAATTTTGCCTGCAGACGAATATGTGGATTTGCGCATTTTGTTTTTCGTGCTGATTTACCATTTATAACTCTCAGCTGATAGTTTACGGAGGGTCTCAATCCAATGCCCTTCAGTGTTGGAAAGAAATGTCTTGAAAGCAAGCACTGTGTATGGTTTCATAAGCGGAACGTGTTCATATTTAAACATATAACATTCTTAAGGGAAACTATTATAATTTGTCTGTCGTCATTACTATGAAATGAGCTACATGAAAATACTTATTACAGTAAACTTTATTCTCCATGTAAAAATAAAACTTTCTGACGGGAAATACGTTGGTCAACCTTGTATATCACTCACTTTAAAGTACATTTAACAAGAAACGTTTTGGCAAAATAGTTCAGTAAAAGTACTTTTTTTCAGCTTGTCGAATCCTCTCAAAGTTTAGTGGATTATGTTAAAAAAGAATATGAAGGTGCTCGCAGTTCAGGATCATCATTTACTTGAAATAAAATTGGTGTACACTAATCTGTACTAACCAGTAATGATGGCATGGTCAAAGAAGCCGTTTGGAGCTTTTAAATTTCTGCAAAGCAGTAGTGTTTCTTTTTATAAAGTAATGTTACTTTTCCATAGTACTCCTAATATCGCTTTCTCCATTTCATCACACGTATTATGTTTCAGTCGTCTAGATGTGGACATCAAAGATGTGACAGTATTATCGACTGATTTTTACCTGCAATTCTTTAATTCTTTATTTTTTCTAATGTCTGAAAATGCCGTTCGTTTTTTAATTCAGATAGTAAGTGTTAATTCAAATACTATGAGTGATTTTGAATAGTATTCGTACTGGTGTTCCTTAACACTTTTTAGGATTTCTTATCAAGTGGAAATGCGTTATACCGGATTGTCTTGGTAATGTTCCGTTCGAAACCATTTAAAAGTCATTTTCATCATTCTTCTTAGTATGAACTAAGGTTTTATACAATTCAGTTCAGTGCTTTTATGCAATTCAGTTCAGTTTAGTTCACCTTTTATGTAATACAATTCAACTCACAATTCACTTCTATGCCTGATGAATATTTCGCCATCTATAGATAGACAATATCACTGGAATTGATCTTTTGTCTAGAAAGAAAAAATTGGGGACTGGTACTTTTTATTTTATTCTTTTTATTGCTAAACTGTTATCAATATTTAACCGTATGGAGTTACTTTATTGAAATGAACTTGATATTAGTAATGCAGAATGCAATTTTGATATTCCTTAACAGAGTAAGAATATGGCTGCTTTCTAGTTGAGAAAACATCTATTGAGAAAATATCCACAAATTCCACAAATATTAGAATAGCGCTGAATTGTTGACTATTGAATTCGTAATTAATCATTTAATGGAAGAAAGAAAAGATAGTAAACGAAGTTAATATCTCAGCATAATAAGGTTATATGAAATCGATCACATTGGTGGAGCAATATTGGGTTTTTTGATGATCACTTTTTATGCTTACGAGATTTTACCGTTATTTACAATCCAAATACATTACTGGAGAGCCATTACCTCTAGTCCACTATTCGTTCAAGTTATATTGAAGAGCCTTTTGGATGTACAGGGGCCCAGGTAATGAAATCTTAGAATAATGCGATATCTTCGAATTTCAGATATTAGTCTTATCTTACCACATCAGTTAACGTAAATCGTTGTATTCGACATATTCTGCCATGGACGATGATAGGAGGTATTCCACATGTAGCAGTAAAATGATTGGTACCAACACACTATATATTGATATTAATATATATACACTATATATTGATTAATATATTGATATTAATAGCACACTGTGTACAGTTGATAGTATTGGTCAGATGAAATAAGATTTGCATATATCAAGACATCGATTTTGTAGATATTATCGGATCGTTTAAAAGAAAACGGGGAAAAAAGTTCTTGAGGAAGGAGTGAAATACAAAGGGGGACTCATGCACATGAGATGAGAGGGCAGAGATTACTTTTTCGATTGGAATAATATGTCGCACACTGTCACATTAGTAATCTTTCAGTATTTTGTCATCATACATAGCGTAGGAATTAAATAACGTCATGTGGTTGTGTTTCAGTAAGGGCTTGGAACAATGCGAATTTCATGTCCAGTTTTAAAAATTGGTAGTTATATTGTAGTTTAGGTTCCTGGTCAAAAATCATTTCCAATGCACTTCTCAACTCATCCATCCCTCTCGTTGACGTCAAGGCATGCCTCATTCACTTGGACAGAGGGGCAAGATACTATATTGAACAATCATAGCTACTGTGATAATAATCCAAATAAATTCCAAATAAATTTTGGGTATATTGAGGGGGATTTAAGAAATGCATATTGATCTGTAAACTCTTATCATCTATCCTCTTCTACATAGGAGTTTGGTTGTGAAATAATTGACTTTGTCATATTAATATCCATGATTCTTCACAAGTTCCATGTTTCTCAGAGTGTCATTTAATTCACTAGGTGATCAGGAATCAAAGAACCTCAAAAATGTACCATTAAAAAAATAGTGTCCACTTTATTCACACTTCCTGCAAAAACACACTCAACTGTTGTGCGTTATTTCCCTTCATAATTTTCCAGGAATTAATTTATGGGATAAATCCAAGCTTAATGAATCATCAAATCATCGTAATCATTATTCATTAAAGGATGATTCTGTCAATAACTTTTATGTTCCATGCTGTAACGTGTTTTTCTAGTCATCGGGAAGTCTTCCATGCAGTGGTATTGGGTAGGCTTCCATTAGAAAAGTTGCTATTGAAGTGAAAATTTTACGGAAAACAGTTGATATTTGCTGAACTAAACATTTCATCTGTTGTACTACGAGACGTCACTGACTGAGAAAAGCAAAACTCGATAAATTTCGAGGACGAATTTTAAAATTCTTTTAAAGGAAGATTATTTGTTTCGCAGGAACTGAGTTATCAAGTATCGGAAGATTTAACAGCACTACCCAAAGAAATATCACTCAGTTCAATGCTGAATGAAGAAGCATGTGTGTATACAGATGAAACGATTGGGATGAAATGCATTGCTGAGGTCTAAACATTATGTTTCAACACTCTTTCATAGCAGCGTAGTTTGGGAGTTGAACAGGATTCTGTACTCCATTGAATATTCTATTAAAAACAAGAAAATAAAATCATCATTCATGTAGGTGTTTCAGTTCCAAATTTATCTTCACTTATGAAATTGCATGCTGCAGAAGAAGGCGTTGATTTAAGGAAATAACTTGTGGTATATTGCGCAGAAGCTAATTATCTTCTGCTTGCTATCCGTGATTTGCCACTATTAAACGACTATGATTATGAGTCCACAAACTTCGCTGACGCCGAAAAGCCATACTGTTCGCCACTGTTACGTCATTCAAAAAAATATCTTGCTTATTGGGTAATGAGTTTAAATTTATCTTGTAGAGCTCTGGTTTCTTCGAGATCTGAATTCTTAGTAGTAGGCTCTTCTCCTGTTCTCCTAATCTAGCTGTTCCCAACTAGTGGTTTGCGAAAATAAAATATAATACATGACGGCGGCGGCGCAGTGCAGAAAATAGGAGGAAACTGTAGTTATCAATGTTTGATAAACTAATACGTTAAAAGTTTTGGTTGAAGTTTATTTTTCAATTAATAGAAGTTATTGTTTTCGAACCTTGTAGTCCCTGCTACAAATGAAAACGCCAAAATGGTCCTGATCAAGGAGGGACACCATTGTCCTAAGCCAGTGGGCTGTTTTTTCTTGACTCCACCTATCACAGCGTTCTAGATTGCTATAGTCTTATGTTGGATAACTGTCAGTTATTTGAATTTTAATTGAGAAAAGGATAAGAAGAAAGGCTATAGAATTACAGCTGTATTATGATAGCACGTTCCACTGAAGCTCCATTCTCAGGTTGTCGAGTATGATCTGCTTTTGGGTTCATTTGTGCTCTATCACTTATGCTTGAGAATGTGGGAAATTCTCAAGTTGTTATTACGGAGGCTTAAGGAAGCAGTCCACTTATTTAACGAATTTTAGGTTCTCGAACTTTCTATGGTCAAAATTCATAAGAAGCAGGTTGATATTTGCTCTTTATAAATAAATATGTAATTCGAATGCTTCTTTTCCTATTTTTAGTTAAAGAAGATTCGAGTTAGTGTTGGTATTTTTTGGACGATATGATAATGAACTTCTCTATGATAACCGCTGATAGTTTCATCATCTGAAAAGAATTAATTATCTTATAAATATCTTTAAAATTCCGTAGAAATTCAAGAATATTCGATTAGCTATATGGCAAGGGTTTTTTTTTTCTCAAAGGGTAGATTATTTCTGTAGTGGCAGTGAAAAAGTTTTTTTGCAAAGTGCGAAGTTGCGATAGGCAGACAAATTAATGGTAAGGTTTATTATTATATCAGCAAACAGCTGATATAAGATTTGCATATTCTTGGAGCTGCATAGAGATCTTTACAATATTACAAAAAAGTATGTAACAAAGTTTTTCGGTTTTCCGATAGTGATTGATATTTTGTAGATACAGTGTTTGAAGCTGTAATAGTCGGAAGAATGTGAATGAAGCACAAGTTACTTTGTATTTCAAAAATAAGTTGTTTCGAGGAATCGTACAATGAATATAGATAACAATTCGTTGGAGGCATTTAGAAGCCCGAATATGCCTTCCAGTTGCTCATATAGATGTTGATATAAAAGGCAAGCAGAATGGGTTTGTAACGAATGAGTTTTGTTTAGTGGAGTCAGCGCAGTTTTCCAGTTCTTTTACTGTTTTCATTTGATCCAGCTTTTGACTCAGCTAAGTTTTTTTTGATATGACAACTTGAGTATTTTTTGAAAGTATAACTTTTGCAGTTAATCATGATTCTATATTTCGCTCTCTGTCGGCGGCTCCATTCGTAATACACGACAAGTTATATCGAAATGTTGGATTGATGAGAATTTTTCCATCAATTTCCATAGAAAGTGTAAATCGAGGTGTTATAAGGTTTGCTTGATGATGAATATAAACGAGTTTAGCTGCATTTGAAGTTGGTCAGCTGTTCTCAAATCAAGTCAAAAACCAGAAAACGAATCACATTATAAATCAATGTCGCAAGCCATTCGTGCCTGTTTTCTACTTGGGTTTATGAAAATCATACCAAATATATCGTTTAGTTAACATGTTTCATTAGGATTCGCAGCACTTTTCAATAAATCTAAAAGAAAATGCATTTTTTTAAGGATTTAAGAAAACTGCTTGTTTTCGAAATAAGTGGGAAACTCGTTAATTCTTCTTCATGTTCTAAATTTCTAGAGGAAAACTGTAATGGAAGTGAACTTTCAGGTTAAAATATCCTTGCAAGCACCCACTGAAAATTTATCCTCCAAATATTTGGTGCTGCTGATATGCCATCCCATAGAACAAATATAATAGATGAACTGAAGAAATCTACCGTTAGAGGATGTGTTCCTATTAATTGCTCAGAATATGTCCTGGGACAAGTAGACGTTAAGTACTCAACATGGTTAGCATGTATGTTCATTCATGTTATGTTTATCTGAAAAAGCTTTAAATTTTTTTTACATAAATTTATTTGATTACTCAAGAAAAAAAAAAAAAAAGTGATTAAATTATAACTTAATGCAGGCACTCCCTCGTTGTCTTTTTTCATTTTATTTGCTAGCTTGAATTGAGCAGGTTTGTCTGCTTTTCTACCTTTCATGTATATGACTTGTCACCATAATTGCTTGCTCCTAAAATGTGTTTTCATCTGTGAAATCATATGAATCATTGTATGAAATCGTATCTGAATCGTTGAATTTCCATATTCCTTTAACTATCTCACTGTTTTTTCAGGTTCATGATATAGGAGTTATTCATGGTTCGGATATGACTACGGAAGTAGCCTTAACAAAATTGTCGTACGGAACTGAGCAAAAACTGTTGGGAACCTTCAAACAAGAAAACATGGTGGTCAAAAATATCAGACGCGAACTAACTGTTAAACAACCAAAGCTACTCCGAGACCTTGAAATTGGTGGATTTCCGAAAAAATTTATTGCTGTTTTTCAGCTGAGCTTTTTTCCATTTCTAATCAAAATTATATTTTTTAAACTATAATTTAATGTATTACAGTTCCACAGATCTAAATATTTCTTATGAAATGGGATTTTTCCGCTATGCTGTCCTTCCACAATTACTATGTTATGAGCTAACTGTGAAAAGTGATGTCGAGATGCCTAATGCATTTCGTGAAAACGGAGCTAATTATTGAAAACGGAGCTAACTATTGATTACGACAGATACAACGCTTTATATATGGCAGCAAGTTGACCCAATGTGTTTGTTCCCAATTTAAATGAGGAATTGGACAGAGTTTGTCTCAAAAAAAAAAAAATGTGCACCCTGCATATGCTGTTGTTGGTTATGTTATCCTTTCGCAGACTATGCGTATCAGGATCTTTTGTAAGCCTTATTTAACACTCCTCCAGCCAAATTTATTATCTCCATGAATTCCTTTGGTGGTTTTACATTTTTTAGCATTGAACCGCAGACAGAAAGCTTCTGCATGACAGATTCGTAAGCTTTCTGATAATCTATATCTTACAAGAATCAGTGGGACGAGAATAAACGTGCAGCTGCGATTGGAATGAACGATAGTGTGCATTGAGATTTTGCGGTTAAAAAGTTTTATTTCCAAAAATAACGATGTCCTTCTGATTAAAATTTCAATTTGTTTGCCAAACACATTTAAAAAATGCTCTATGTGCCAGTTGTGACAATGGAGATACTGAATTCCTTTTGCTGCTGGAGCTGATATAAACCGACAGGATATAGCCGCAGAATTGCTCTGCATATTACATGTTTCAACACTTTTTTTCCAACTGCTTAGTTGTTTCTGCGAATACTTCCTATCTACTGTCATTTTTGTAAAAAAATAGCAAATAATATCTTGGTTGTATTTTACAGGAAAAGTGATCCAAACAAAAGCGATTATTTTGAATTAACACCGCTTGGGCATGCTGAGAAAATTAGAAGATACGATCATCAGAATGCGTAAAATTCAATAATATTATTGGAGGAAATAAACATTTTTATAATGAACGTATTTAGAATTATGATATAACTTTTTTAAAAGATAATTTCCGTTTGGCCTTTTTCTCGCAAAAACAGATATAGCAGTCATGAAAGCTTCTTTTCACTCATTTCTTGTGCTAATTTACTACTTAGTATTAAAAAACAAAATGTTCGTGCATCCTTGTATGGGTGTTGATATCATCTCGAAATTTCTTCCTTTTTTTTTTTGTGTAAGGTGCGTTTTGACGGTCAAATGAACAAAATCATGACAATGAAATGTATGGATTGTTTTTCGAAACAAAAAGTGACAGGAAGTGCACATTTTGAAGCATGTTTTAGGGTGATGCAGCGCAATACAATGATGAGTACAATGATGAGTGGTGTAAATGGAGAACAGGAAAATTTCGACATAATCGATAGAAGATAGGATGAGTAAAATAAGTAGGATCCGACGAACCTGGACTGAATTTTACATGTATTTATAATTTTTCAGAGAGATGGAAAACATTATCAGCAGGTCTCATGCATCTGCGTAACTGCAGTGTTGCATCAGTGTTATTTTAACGGCTTCAACTGAACTCTTCATGTAACGAAACTCTAGAGAAATCAGATTTGTTCCCAGATGAGAATTTTTTTTCCGCTGCTAAAATTCATTTCCGGGAATACTCATGCAGTGAAAATCTCTTCTGGCAGCTTTAATTTCTTCATCGTCAAATAAAGCTTCGAATTTCTTCAAAAATTCTTCGAACTGCCCGGCTAAAAATACAAGAATAACAAATATACCCTCACATTTAATGAATATATTTAATAAGGACAAACCTTTATATTTAATATATTTAGTAAGGATAAACCTTTATATTTAATGAAGTAATTATTTTAATTACTTTGTTATGCGACGGAGATCAATAAATATATATTTGCTAGGAAGATGTATTTAGTTGAACAAAACAATTTTTCATTAACCAACTAAACAGTGCAAATGGAAAGGAACTAACAATTTGTGCTGCAACTTCTAACTTTCGAACCACGTTTAAGGAAGTATGAAAAGATAGCATAACGAATCAAACGATCTTCCTTCCACGCACTCTCAATGAGCTTTAAACCATTTACCTTATCTGCTGATTGTGAACTTTCCAAGAATCTGCAAATAACTAATGGCTGTTTCTGGACTTCCAATTACTCCTTATTTTGAAATCTATTCAATAAAATTGCAATATTGTCAAACCTGACGGATTCTATAACCAGACTTCTAGCAATTAAAATCTCAACAATTTCTTCGGTAGCAGTGCCAAGTCTCGAGAGCATATCCAAAGCGAGTTGAACCAATGGAGAATACTTTGCTTCATGAGAAAGAAGTTGAAATGCCTAAAAATGAGCAGAGAAATTTTTGGAAGAAAGAGATTCTTTTGGCTGAAGGGCAATGTGCATTAACCAGTATGATTTGAAATTTAAAAAAAAAGAAAGTTCAGTGAGGACTTCATCAAAGTAAAAAAAAAGCACACTGATGTAGCTGTTGGAATGATGATTGTTTAAAGAAATTAATGGAACAAACAAGTTGTTTGGAATCTGGAATAATGCGGTACAGAAGAAGCTGATGAAGTCTTTCGAACTGTCCCATTGTAATCATAGTGGGTACCAATATTTCATTCAGGAAATACGGCTGAAAAATTGGGCACGCTGAAAACAGCAAGAAGTCGTTGGATTTACATTTATTCAACAAACTCTGTGACCTTTCAGATTTAATTTTTCTTCCTTTACAAACGATTTATAAATTTTTTGCCATCTCAGTTTCATATATATATTGAGCTTATAAAATTTACCAGTTACTGTCAAAAATTCATGATGATAAAACAAAAAAAGAGATTAAAGAGGAAATGACAGCTTCCGGCAATCAACCCCACTTTTGAAGAGCCCTGCGATTGTAGAAGCAGACTTCGAAAACAGGAACCTCGATCATCCATTATATCACACTGAATTTGCATAAGAATTCTCTCCAACTTTTTTTACCTGTACTGGTTTTCATGGAATCTGATAAATTGCCTTGATGCACTTTAATCCTTATGTTTAATGCAATCTTCCGTAAGTTATGAGATGGCTGAGCTTCACTTGCACAATCAATCATTCTAAGATTTGAGGAAGTAGTTGAAACAAACAACTACAATAACGAACCTGTACTTCTAACTTGTTTTCTCGCAAAGCAGTAAGATAGCGCAACATATACTGCAGAAAACGTAGTTTCTGATCTAAAGTATAATCATCCGGCAGCAGGAATAAATTGCCCACAACGTCTCCCTGTTCAATTGTAATTTCTTTGTACGGTTCAGCCATCAAAGTATATTTTATACCACTGTCTGCAGAATTAAAACAATCCTTTCTTTTTGAGGCCATACTTTTCTTGTGCCGACGCGACCCAACAATATAAAAGAAGGAAAAAGAATTGAATACATTCTGTTACATCCCTCACCTTAGGAAATGAAACTTATCTAAATTAGACAATAAATTATCTCAGGAAAGCTTGACTAAAACCTTTGAAGGAGCTCTAACGAGAACGACGTAATGACTACATTACTAAAAACATATTTTTGCAAACTACAATAACTACTGGGAAGGGGGAAAAAAAATTATAAGATAAAATATGAGTTAAAATACTGAATGAAATTACCGCCATGTCTCGAAATTGGAGGAGAACGTTTAGCAATTGCTTTCGCGAACCAATTAAAAACATGTGTCAGTTGCTTCAGTTTCAGCTTATGAGCAACTATGCAGCGTCTCAAAATTTCCAAAAACACTGACTTTGGAATACATCTATTATACAGGAAACGTAAGTACTGATACTGAAAGGATTTCGTTAGTATAAAGAAGATTAACTTCTATTTTTTCTGTCAAATTTTCTTTAAGTTTGCATGCCATTCAGACATACATGAATTTATAAATTAAGCAATGAAAACAAAGGCCATTTCAGACATACAAGAATTTTTTTAATTAAGCAATGGAAACAACAAATATTACCTTGTCGTCAATACAATTTTCAGCTTCAACTGGATCTAAAGAAACTGATGTGAAAACACCAACACTTGCATCCGTAATAAAGTTTGGCTGAAACATCACCCAAGAAGGACTGTATAATTTGAATTCGTGACAAAATTTGGCCTGTAGCGAGTCCGAACAGTTCAATGAAGTTTTAAAAAGAGCATGTGAGATGCAAACACCTTTTGTAACTTCGCCCAAACCAATATCGAAAATTAATGATGTTTTTGAACTCTGAAAAGACAGTGATGAATGTGTCAACAAAACATGTCCTTAACAGACTGGGTAGAATGCCAATATAAACGTCAATACGATATCTGCCACAATCTATTAATATAAACAATTACTCTTACTCCTTATCTACTGAAATTACGTCTATCAACAATGATGCTAACATGAACTATGGAAAATCTGAAACAACAGATTTTTTTAAATCCTCTTTTAGATACAAATTTTTAATTTTTTGATTTCAGAATCATACTTGATGGTGTACAACAACCAAATTATCAAATCCGTGCAAGGCAAAGGCACCGACTATATCCAAATACAAAATGTGAGCAAGCTTTGGTACTTCCGTCCCACTCACACTCATTTTATACAAAGCGATTTCAGAACTAGTAGAATCGCGAGTGCCACTGCGCAACACTGTTATGTACAACGAATTATATCTGAAAAAATATGGTAAGGCATGCTTGAAGATTAATAATTATTAATATATTCACGATTGCTCCGAAAGAACTTAAATATTCAGTCAAGCATTTTGGAAAAGAACTATTGAAACCCTTTGTTTGGGGGATAAACTCAATTCAACAAATATTGCTCCATGGAAGATTTAACCTCTTGGTGGTTACCGATTTTTGATCTCGCTGAAAGATCTATGTTATTACATATCACATAAACAAGGTTCAAATCAACTTGCCAGAGCAGAACAACGCTCTTTTTCTTCCTAAATAAGACCACCGGAATGATTTTAAAATGGCATATAAATTCATACACTAAATCTATCATTATACAGTAGTTCTTACGAAACATTCTTCGAATAGTGCGCAAACGAAGTTATACATAAGATTCAGGGTGTTTTAAAATACACGAATTGTAAATGGTCACAAGGGCTAAGCTTAAATTTTCAATCTCAACTTAAATATCATTAGTATTTCAACATTGAGCAAGAGATTACATATCTGCAATCTGAAAAAGGCAAATCGTTTGAAAATAGCATAAAAGGAACTTCGTTTTTAGCCACCACTAATTCCATCACCACGACTTTTGGAAAAGAGTATAAATTGGAGAAAGCTTTCGAATCTTTTGACAAATGAGAAAATAGTTGAATGAGAGTTGATAATAATAAAAGGGACAGAAAAATTAAAAAAAAAAAGAACTTCACAATTTTTTGAAAAAACTGATTTCTGTAAATGTGCTCATGATGAGCCTATCATCCTCTAGAGTTGATATTTTGAACTGTTTTTTTTTTTTTTGAATTGGGGAGCTTTCAGTTAACCTCTATATAGAAGCATCTACACGGATATTTCAGCTGAGAATCCAGGTCATTATAGCTAATGGTTAATTTCGAATCCGCTAATTCACCAGATCGAAGTGTGAGATAATAAGAGGAGCTTATTAACGTTGGATGTGAAAAGGATGATAAACCAAATTATCCAGGGAATAATTTATGTTTTTTGGCAATATTTTTTTATGCGCTTTACAGTGAGAACTTACGAGACATCTGAAATGATCGGAAGATAAATCCTTGAGCATTCCTTGATAGATAGCTAGTTTGCCAGAAAGCCCTATTACGACCTTAGAGAATACAATTCCAAAAATTAGATGATACAACAGTTAAGGCATAATTCCATGCAAAGTCAAAAAACGAATTTGAAATGCTAAACAAAAAAGAATAACAAACAGAGATATGATGGATACTTCTCGTTTCAATAGCCGCGGTTTTGTATTCGAACTATCAAACTCGACTTCGAACTTCATTAATCGATATATACTTCCATTCTAAATTACAATAAAAGATGAACGCAGAAATCCCATAGCTTGGACTATTATTTTATCTTCTCAATTTTTTGATTTAGGAAAAATAACAATTTCGCTGATTTACCATATCGACATTAAATCCACCCTTTCTTCAATCAATAGAAAGTTAATAATAGTACCTGAATAGCAAAAGGATTTAATAAAGCACCGGCAACTCCACACGATACAATAAGCAGCTGTGAATAAGGCTGAAGATTTCACATCGAATATTAATAAGGAGCACAAAAATAAACGAAAAAAAAATCATATTTATGAAAATTTCGCAGAATTTCCCTTAGCAGACAATAATCAGTAGAATACTTAGTCATTTAAATCCATCAACAAAAACAGAAAAGTGATTGAATAAGTGCTTCGGAATAGTATTAGCCACCATACTAAGTAGAAGCAATTAACAGATAACTTGAAGTAAAAGAAAAATAAACGCATATTTAAAAGGAATCAAAAGTATGAATATTAGAACATACATAATATAAATACCAATATAACGAAATATTGTATGATTTCAACAGCTTAACCGATTTCTTCTCTGGTTTTACTTGATACAACTCTAATCCCTAAAAAACTGCATGAAACTAACAGCAGTACTTGAAAAAGTGGATTAAAGATAGGGTTAAAGATAGATTAAAAGAAGTGGATTAAAGATATGGAATAAAGATTTTTTTCTTTTTCTTGAATCCACATACATTTAATTTGTTTGAAAAATAACCCTTACCAATCTACTATTATTTTTATTTGAAAAATCTTTAGCTGGAAAAAAACGAATTTTCGAATGATAAAAATTGGAGTGTAAGGTAAACAAAAACCTGATTTGTAATAAAGAGAATTTGGCTGTTCAGGATCCATTCCAGGCTAATGATATGTGCTGAACGATTTTTCGTTGATTGTGAAAAAGACGTGGATAAAGTATCAGTACTAAGGGCTGTGAAATTTATAAAATCCTTAAAATAATGTATATTCTTCTTTTGACATGATAAAATTATTCCAAAATTATTGCTGATATGCATCTAATTACTAAATTTATTGGAAAATCGAGTCCAGAAAATTAGCTCAAATTCACTAGTGTTTTGAATTTTATTATTAACTATGAACTGGGTTTTACATTGCTAATCTACCAGAGTATAAGCATTATGAATCTCCAAACTGCGCCATCAAATTCCAATCATTTATTAGAAACTTACGACAGTAGATTCATCATACTGCACAGATATCAAGCATTTATCTGGAGAAAATTTGATAGCACGAATTTTGCTCTTGTTCTTCAATCTTAAATATACGTCAGTATATAGAATTACTGTAAGGTGGTATCCAGTAGGACACCATTCTCGAATAACATTTGCGACAGAATTCATTCACCGTACAGGAAAATCTATCAAAAAATCATAAGTAATTGGGATGCAAAAGAATGTATTCATTGAAGATAGTCGAATGTGATTCAAAAGAATGGATTCATAGAAGGAGATGGACAGTGGTAATTATTTTCCAACGCTATTTCGAGTTTATAAATTAAAATCACCGAATAGGGGCTATCTCGTTTGATTCGAGTCCATAGGCTTTTATTTCTACGACATCTTCGCCACGAACTGTTACAATCTAAATGAAAAATTTCACGAACTCCCTTGTCTCATCACTGCAATTTCAGCAAGCACAGCAGTTTTACGTTGGTCGGAATGAAGCGACCACTGCACTCTCCACATTTCATTTAACTTTCTCTTAAATTATTTATTTTCTTCCGATATTGTTACCTTTTTATTAACATCATCATAAAAGATTTCACTCAGCGCACTCCCCGATTCGAAGATGACATGAGGTTCGCCTATATGAAGCATTAACAATAGCAGCGATTTCGAATAATAATCTGCAATTTAATTTCTTCACAAGTGATGAGACAACATTCCTACCGATAACTTCAAAGAATTTATCCGTAAATAATCGATATTTCGGAAGTTGTGTCGGACTACTATCTCTTGCAAATCTTTATCGTGTAATTTTTAAGTTAATTTTCCAAACTATTTTCAAAACGGAGTTCGAAATTAAAAGCTATTTATTCAAATTTAAAGAAGGACAAATAAATGGCGAAAGTAAAGATAAAATGTTTTGCAAAAATTATGTCAGCAATGTACCGCTAAAAGATAAAAGCAAAAATAAGAAAAGAAAAAAGGAAAATAGTTTTATGCATTTCAACCTATGAATTATCAAAATGTGGCATCTCCCGATTACAATTTCCTGTTATGTACAACACCATCAATATAATGCAATAGAACCTCACTAGACCGCTGAATACTAATTGCTTGATGTTAAGGTCCATAATCTTTAATCTAAGAAACCCGAGGGCAACAGTTCAGATAATGTACGTAATTCAGGCCTCATATTTTTTAAATGCAAACCTCCACTTCATTTTCACTTCACCTCAAATTGCTATGTCATAACAAATATAACAAATAAAGTTCAAAGACATTGATTGTTATTTTTTCATTTACAAATAAATTTCACTTAATATTTTAACTAATTCGACTAATATTCTGAACAGTGGGAACCTCTTTCTTTTCATTTAAAGTAAGAAACGAGTCATTTTGTATGCTTACAATAAATAGCCTGTACAGATCAAGTAAATAGCTTAATAAATATGGATGTCTCCTTCAGGCAATGTAGATTCCAATGAGAATTCCTAAGATGATTTATTTTATGCAATCAAATACAACATGTTAAGTGCAAAAGAAAAGCCTACTTCGTCTTTTCTATTTTAAAGAAATATAGCTAAAAAATCACAAATCACCATAATCAAAAACAGAAAATTGAACAGTTAAAAATCATCTGCTTGCATGCATCTTTTTAAAACACTATAAAGCAATTAAAATGAATATTTAGCAATCTGAATCGAAAGACTGATATCAAAAAAACAATAGCTTACGTCGACAACTCGTTTTTTCTCTCTTCTATTCTTTCCTTTTTCATATTTATATGGATCCATTAACATTTGGATTGCGCATTTTAGTTACTAGGTTTGGTTCCTTGAAAGATGATATCTTCGCTGCAGCAGCACGTTTGTATCGCATTTTTTCATTTAAATTTGCTACATTGGAAATGCCAGTGGAAGGTGTAAATGATGGAACTGTCAGTAACTTGCTGATTTCTTTCGTAGCCTTTGCATTATTTCCCGAGCTTTTTTTACATCTTCTACAAACGGAAAGTCATTAGAGGACCAAAAAAATAAATGAATGAATAAATAAAATATTTTCAATCGATATTGTTCACATTTTTTAAACTATTAACTACTTCGGAGTTTCGTTAGTTGAAATCTTCCTTTTCTTTTTCGTGTGCATAACAATTTCCAATTTCTCGATCTGGTTGTTTTTCGCGGGAGTATTTTCATCATATGTTGTCGTAGTTAATGTTTCACGATTAGAGAATACCGTGGAGGTTTCAGGTGCACAGATCGTGGTGGGAGTTATAAGTTCCGTCATAGCAGCAACAGCCGATGGATCTGTAGCACAATTTTAGTTCTTTCAGTACAAAAACTAAAACAGGAATAATTCTGGACAGATTTATACGAGTGAATGACCTTCGTGGTTCTGAGTTGAGAGCAATGAAACCATTTGAACTGATGTTTCAAGTTTAGAAAATGTGGCGGAGGTTCTAGGTCCTGAGGTAGTGGTAGACATTACAAGTTCCGCGGGAACAGCAACAGCTGACGGATCTGAAACACAATTTTGGTTTTGTTTACTTTAAACACTTTTAAAATTTTAGACGAGAATTAAAAATTAAAACAGTTCTGAATCGAGAAAGACGAAATCTTTCATTTCGTTTTAGGAAAGACACTTCAACAAAAGAGGTTTCCATATCGTTTTCCAAAAACTCACAAATCTATAAAGATTTCCTGTGTCTGAAATTCAAATGAGGCTATGAACTGTAATTGAAAATTCTGTAAGAAAAGTGAGGATTCAAGAAAAATTGGAAATCTTCCTGAAATTCTAGCACACAGGTGAAACCGACCAAATTCATGAGGCTCCTTTTTGATAAAAAAAGTTTGTCGTCGACTATTACGACTAGATTTGCGACCATCTGACGATCGTTCACAGCCATTACTGCTTATAGGCACGATTAGAACTCTATCAGAAATAGCATCTTCATTTTCATCCATCTCACCGTAAATATCCTAAACATTAAAAATAGTGTCAATTTGAAGAGACTGATTGCACACTGATGGTTAGGTTATGCCAAAGTCAAATTCAAATTATATATTTCTAAGAGGGGAAAAACTGGAGAAGCAAATAACCTACCTCCTCTACAGCTTCAAGAGCAGACGGCTGTTGCGCATGACGTCCAAGGATTTCGTTTCCTTAAATTATGATCATCAAATTAACTGTATTGTATTAATCTGCATTATCAAAATTTGATAATTTCGTTAATTTGATAAGAAAGTGTGATGAGAACCTTTTTCGCATGTTGAGGGCACTACAACACTTCGACTGCATCCACCTGTATAAACGTCACCGTCATCGAAATTATTGGACAAGCTAAAAAATCAAATGATTTCACTAGAGAGATAATAAAAGACAATGAGATTCACTGATAAGCAATATATAAAAACAAATTTTACTAACAGAACGTGATCGAGGCGACCCGCTGCATAATCAAAATCCGCTTTTGTTTTCTTCATATACTGCAGAGTACGATTAGCTATAGATTTCAAGTGTTGCACTCTTTGCTGCAGAACAAATTAATTCTTTATTTCTTGCACTTTTTTAAATGAAAACGGAAATGTGTATAGAAAGACTTTGTTCAGATACTTTCTATCAGAAAAAGAAAATAATGCAATTTAAATTCATTTTGTGCAGAACACTACCATATAATACTATATAATCCACACAGAACATTAGCACATAACGTACCATATCTCATTTAACCTACCAAGCTATTTCTTCCTCCAATTAGCTTACTCAAACTCGATTAATTTAACGGTTCATCAAAAACTCTAATGCTACTAAACAACAGAAAAAAAGAAAAAACAAGCCTGCAATCGTTTCCTCACAATCATTTCGATACGCTCTTCATCACTCGTTGATTCAAGTCCAGCAATTCGTCTTTGTAAGTCAACGATTTCGTTTTGCAGTCGGCTAATCTCTGCTTTAGCGAATGCAAGTTGAATGCGAAGCTGTTGATTTGCAGCAACCAATGAACGATTCGATTGAACGGTACCTAAACTGATCATTTTCCATGTTTTTAGCACTCACCTCAGATGATCCCTTCAATCATATCTGAAAGTGAATGAAATCCTTTACTGGATGATAGAGTTGTATTAAGCACTTCTGGCTCTCAGAATACAGTGAAGTCAAATTTACTCAGTTTATTGCCGAACGTCTCCACTGAACTCGAATTGGCCCCACTGGTCTTGATAGCAGCCATTTCCCTAAAATATAAATATATTAAGCAATATAACAACCTTTCTCACTAAAATATCAAACCCAAGTACAATTTCCCTTTTAACTTCCCACAAACCCTTTCGGTTTGGGTGTAAATCGCCAAAAACTAGTAAACAAACGAAAAGTACGGCTGGTTGACTGGAGAAGCCAAGGGATGGATTCGTGGGTCTTTTTCTATGCTGATCTTAAGCTTGGATGTTTAGAAAAGTAGCAGAAAAGAGTTTAGAAAAGTATGTTTAGAAAAATATCTATTTCTCCGCTTATCTATCGAGAAGTTTAGAGATTACATTCGCATGCATTTCATGTGTCCTTCTTCATCTTTGCTTCTTCGTCCTAGTTTGTACTTCTGAACAAAGATCTGAAAGAAATGAATGTGAAAATGACTGCCTTACTATTAGAGTTCATTAGTCAGATATGCACAGATGTGTAATGATTTAGAGGAAGGAGCTGATTGCGAAGAAAATATCGTGGGAATACAGTAACAATGACGGATAGTGAGAATACAAGCGAAGAGGTTAGTTTATTCCAGCACTATTTCATTATAGACTCTTTTTCACCCTCACTCCCAGACAAGTTTCTGTTGCGTTGAAAGTTTAGACTACACCTCATAAGTATTCATCAACATTATTCCAAAAAAAAGTCTGCATCATTGAAAAGAGATTAAAATTCGGATTACAATTACTTTCAGATTGGAAATGAAATACACGAAGCGCATCAGTCCTCTGGCAAATCAGTGGACATTCGCATTAAGCATCTCTATAGAGTATTTCTTTTTAACCCAAATCTTATGAAGACGAGGGGAGTACGAATAAGCTGTGAAAAAAAGTGGGAGCTAGGAATATTGAGGCTGCCTTGAATTTAGTTTCGTTAGGCTGTAGCAGTTGAAAAGTATGAAACAAAATTAATAGTTAATTAGGGTTTCATTATACTTAGTTTAAATCAAACTATCGAAAACTAGTAATTAAGATAACATTGGATTAAATTTTCGAATCCATCTCAAATAATTTCGCGCACTTCACTAAGAGCACTTTATTTATATTCTAATTTTGCGAATATTTGTAGGCTCAAGAGTTGCTGTTACATAGAGATAAAAGCAGTTCTCTTCTTGATAATTTCCTCGATGAAATGCTCGAATTCGTAGTGGAAAATGACTCGAAAATGCGTTGCTTCGTTGCATCCTTTATCGAAAAAGCTTGGTATGTTAAAAGTTTCTGCTTGTAATCCGAAATATTTCACAGTTTCTGCGGACAACTTTCTCGATGTAACTTTTATTCAATTGCAGTAAAAAGGACTGTGAAGTGATGAAAAAAGCTGTTGTCTCGCTTTCATATCTTATTCAGGCTGCTGGCGTGGGAACGGTTTCCGTTATTAAAAAGGTGAAATTTTAGCTGTGGATTTTACTGATAAATCAATCCCATAAATAAAGCAACTTGTATTAACACCAGATCAGTCTAGAAACATTTTAATAGCGCACGTCACCTTACTTTTTATAAACTTCTTAATGTTGCTGAATAGAGACTCTGTAATAGCAGTGACTTAATTCAAATATATAAAGTTGTTCGAAGCATTACTTACACTTAAATTTATTATTCTGTAACAAGATTATTGGATTTTCAGTTCCTTTGAGTTGACTTTCTAATTTTCTTTGAAAATCGCAAGAATTGTCATTGAAATATGCTCATATGCTGTGTTTCAAGGTAAACAAGGTAAAGTGTGCTTATTTTAAGGTAATCACAGTATGCTCACAATTATATCCATTAATTTTAAAATGGGCAGCTGGATCACGCAGTGTTGAGGTTGCGCGATGTTGGGAAGCTTTTTCGGTGCTGAAAGGGCGTATCATGCAGCACATCGATTCTGATAATGAAGGGTTTGCTTTTTATTTTATATGCTGATTTGCAGTTTTACTTAATTTTCTCTTTTCGATTTTGCATGCCATAAATACTTCTGATTTTCAGCATACGCACCCAAACTATTAGATTTTTGGAAGCCGTGATCCTTGCGCAAACACTGCGAACGGAGGTAAACTGATTTTCGAATCATTATTTTTTCCTTAATTTCGTTAAACTTGGATATTTTAACATCAAAATCTTGAAATATACTTTCACACGCAACACTGTTATAATTTACTGGTTTATCCAGGAAAGTGAAAAAGGTCGTGGTGATAATATGTGCTTAAATGAAATTGGCCGCGACCATCGATTTATCTCATATCGTAAAATGGAAAGTGAAGCGACGTTAAATTTTAATTCGTTGCTTGATCATACTTCTTCGGCTCATATATCTTCGCTCAATTTGTTAACGTGTTTGACTTGTATCTGCAATATCGCTCAACAGCGTCCGCAATTTATGCAGAGGGTTGTTGGTATGGGTTTCGAAACTTATTATATTCACTCATATATTTTATCTTAAAAATTTCTATTTTTATCTCATTTCCATTTTTTTTTTTTTTTTGGTCTACCAAATGTCTTTTAAATGTCCTAAGGTTTTCCTTTTATTCGGGTGAGATGAAGAACTGCTATTTACATTTTTATTAATTGCTTTAAATTCTTTTTGATCCGAATCAAGTTAATCTAATGTTGAAAGTTCAGGAGCTCTGGAAGCTTTGCACGTCAATCTTCCTCCAACTCTGGCAACGAGTCAAGTGAAAAGTGTGCGTAAGGAATTAAAAATGCATCTTTTACGCCTTCTGCGACATCCCAGTAGTATACCATTTCATCCAAGAATAATGATACTGTTGACAGATTTAGGAGCTGCGCAGTCGGTAATTTCAAATTTATTTTAAAGAATATTATCATTAGATAAAGCTATTTTCAAAAATTCAAGCTAGAGTCAAAATTTGATAAAATAAGCAATGCCGAAAATAAATGCCACAATGAAATATTATCTTATTAACTTCTTCCGACGACTTTAATTTCGCCATGATTTTCAGGAAGTTTTACGCGCATTACCATCTGCGAGTGAACAGCGTAAAAAATCTCATCGAAATAATGAAAGCAGTGATGAACCGGAAACAAAAAGAATGAAAGTGAGGTTTCCACAGATGTAGTTACTGTTATACATGCAGCATTATTTGACTTTATATGCAAATATGCAACGTTGACATTATTCATTTTTTTACTTGTGATAATAAGTTATACAAAATATATTGTTGAAAAATTAAAAAGAAAAAATTGAAAAATATTTTGTTGAAAATACAAAAGCCTGGAATTGAGTATTAATTTAGTACTTCCCAATCGCGCGTGGACCTGTGGTGGTCCAGGAGCACTTAAATTTGCATGCAAGGATTATTGAAAAATTGTGTTCCTTTTTTTATATTATAATGTTATTCGAAGTTCACTGAGAGTAGCATTATAATATGAAAAGTTTTAATTAAAGTATATTTTCAAAATGACAGAACTTATTGTTTTTGAACTTGGTGGCCCATGCTACAAATGAAAAGATCTTGTCAAGAAAAGGTTGGGAACCACTAATTTGCACTAATATTATTGACATAAATTTTTTTGAATATTTTCATTTCAATTACTTGTGTGATTTTTTAAGGGTGTCGAGGAAATTCCAGCAGTCGCTGAAAAAGAGGATGATGAAGACGAAGACGAGGCTGGTCCAAGCGTGTCTATGGAAAAAAGTCAGACTCAGTCTGCTGTTGATATTACTGCCCAATTTGTCTACGAACGATTGAAACCAAAACTGGTTACAAACTTGGTTCTTACATCCCTTGTGAGTTAATTATATTATTAGCAGATTTTGCTGCAAATCGTATGTTGGTCAATGAACTCTGCTTAATTAAAATGGAATCTCTTTTCAAGATTAAATTTGCGCTTTCAGGTGACACTTCCAGACGAAATGCCTGCAGCTTTCCAGTCATCGTACACCCCTATTGCTGCAGCTGGCACAGAAAGTCAGATTCGGCACTTGTCACGTATGATTGCAACACAGTTAACTAGTATGGAGTTAGGTCCAGGAGTCGAGAAAATTCGAACAGAAAGACAACAGTTTATCGGTTATTTACTTAGATTTATAATCAATAACGCCGAAATAATGTGAATAAGTGATGGGGAATTGAATATTGCTTACAAATTTATTACCGAATTAATGTATGTAATCATTTTTATTTTAGTGGAAGTGGGTTAATACTTCATTCATTGATACTCCATTTCCGTTTCCATTTTAATTTTGATACTTCATACTCCATTTGATACTCCATACTCCATGTTGATGCTCCATTTCTGCATACTCCATTCATGTCTGATATCTCTTAAAGAACTAATAAACAAACCTTATTTAGCTCGTCAAACCGGAAGAATGGAAGGTGCCGTCATTCTGCCGACTCCGTCGCATCAATTTACCTCTGTGCAGCAAAATCAAACGCAGCAATCTGAATCTGTACTGCCAGCAGTTTGTTTAAAAATGATTGCCGTGAAATGTCATCACTTTGCTGATCATCACTTTGCATTCTGTTCAAATTGCTGGTTTGCTGCAAGTTAAACAAATTTTTTTTTTCAGGTTTTATCAGCAAAGACTAAACCGAAGATTCAATTTGGACTGCTTTCTATTACGAAAGAGTTAGATCGAGAGCAATCACTGAAACTTATTCTCCTTGCATTTAAGCGGATATTGGCTAACGAAAGTTTGTGGTTTCTTGTCTTCATTGGTTTAGTTTTTTTCAGTTAAAAATTGTCAGTGGATATCGATTTCCTAAAATTAGTCTGCATTGCTAACAGTTATTCAAAATGTGTAGAGAAGACCACCAAACCAAAGCTTGGCAAATTTTATACTATATTTTATATCTACGTATTCCGTGCAGATTACATCTACATTAAATTGTTTATTCATTTATTTATTCTAAATTTTGTTCAAACTTTTACTTTTGCATTTTGAGCTGTATGAAATACTTTTAGAAAGGGCAATCCAAGGTGGTGTAGGTGTTGCTCAACAGAAACTATTGGTGAGGCTTGTAACTCGTTTCAATCATGATTCGTGTGCTGAATTTGAAGATCTGCTTATGAATTTTATCGTGCAGGAACAAAAATCACGAACTGAGCTGGCATTACTATGGATAGCAGAACTTTATGCGCAGTTTCAAGGGTACTATTGTTGACAATTTTCGGAATCGTAAAAATGCGTTTATATTTGCACATTCTATGCGGAATTTATCTGCACTAACCTGTTTCTTAGTTTGTAAATGTAACAAAAAAAAAGAAACGAGTTTAATTATTCAGATATTCCTTATGCCGTACTTCTTATGCTACGGAAGAATATCGTGGTGAATCGCTGCGTTACAAACGTTATGATGCAGTTTTGTGCAATTTGTTGAAGACATTATTTGAGCGGGGAGAGCACAAAGAAACGTAATATTTTTCTCCAAATTCCGCTCATTTCTTTTGAATTATAAAGACACAGATCCTATTGTGTTTGCAAATTTAATTTTGTTCTTTTATAGTCTTTTCCATAAAATCTTACTGGAAGCACCTCTGCTAACACCGCAATCTCTCGTATGGTTACGAACTGCTTGCCTTGATTCGGTAAGTGTGAATTTTTCATTCCTTATCAGCAAAAGTCTTGCTAACGAAAGTTTTTAATAATTCACTAGGAAACTCAGTGGTCTTTTCTTTTTGAAATGGATTCTGCAGGTATTTGGGGCATTTGGAATGACAACTTTACGTGAATTAATTTTAACCCGAGCAAGGCAACGAAATGAATTGCTCTGTATACTTTTGGACTTCTCATACAGTGACAGAGCTGATGTCCGTACACAAAGTATTGAAACAGCAAAGGAACTATATCAAATCGATTACGTCAGGCAAGTATTTCTTTGTCTTTGTTAAAATTTACAATTACGGTTTGTTGAATTTCCGAGAAATTTCCAGAATATGAAGTTTTTTTTTCCAGAGGTGATGTCAGGGAATATTTAATCTCTTCAATAAATTGTTGCACAAAATCAGTTCCGCCATCGCAACTTTATGCTTATGAAAAAGAAAGTGTCAAATCTTTGTGGAACGACGCAGCAATACGCATTACTTTGAACTTATTTCTCTCCATTCTTCCTCTTGACCATTCATTGATACACACTCTGGCTGCTGTTTATGCGAAATCTTCAAATGATATAAAACGGGTAAAGCTAAAGTTTTTATCAAAATAATTTTTACTGTTCCTTTGTTTTCATGTGGTTTTACTGTTTATTAACATTTATTGCATGGAGCAAGAAGGGAGCATGGAAATGCACCCTGAGAACAGGATTAGTTTAAAGATTTTTTAAAACATTTTTGGTGACTTCAAATTTTTTTAGAAAAAGAAAAAGATAAGCATAAGATCTCCTCTCTCGCTTCGGTGATTAATGGTGACACCGTGAATGGATAATCGATCGTTTTGATATATTACTTTTTTGCTTGAAATTTCGTGACCTTTTTGAAGTTTGAAGTCATTGGAATATTTTGTTCGGAAGGTATACTGAGTTTTTATAAGATTTTATTGCTTTGAAAGAAGAAATCCGTATATGTTTGCAGGTTACGCTGCGCACGATTGATAGTGCCATAAAGTCGATGGGTGCAGCAAGCGAGCATTTATTGGAAATGATTGAAAATTGTCCACAAGGAGCTGAAACATTTGCTGCCAGAATAGTACATCTTCTTACTGAAAGAAGTACATTTTTTGCAATTTGTTTGTTTGTTGATGGATCTTACGATTCTACGAAACTTTTGTTTCAAACTAACGACTGTGCGGAATCTATTATAATTCCGAAGAAATTAATTTACTCTCTGTTATAGATCCTCCAACTCAGGATCTTGTAAATAGGATAACTGCGCTGTATGAACAAGGAAGAACCGATGTTCGCTCAATGATACCGGTTTTGAGCGGTCTCGATAAGGTTGTCGATCTATTATGATTTAAATGTGGTTTGTTGGTATAGGATATTCATAGTCTCGCAAAAACAGAAGGTGGCATTTATTCTCATTTTACAAGATCTGACGAGGAAAATTGGAAATATGACTTAGAAGATTCTGTATTTATCATGTTTGTGAATTCTTATTGATTCACCGAGTTATATGTGCTACTCAGCATAATGATTTTCAGGATCAAATATTAAGCATTTTGCCCAAGTTCGTTGTAACTCCAGTCAATCAGAAATCAGTACCTGTTGTATTCAACAAACTCTTGGCAGGAAGGAGTAAGTCAAAGTTAGAATTAGTTCGAGGCTGTAGTTAAGATTATGTTAAATTACCATCATTGTTAATTCTTTTGATCAGTAAATTCCAGATATCAAAACCGGCCTTCATCCGATGGGTGCGGGTGAACTACTTATGGCGCTGCACAAAATCCATGTCGAAAATAAAGAGGAAAATAATTTATTGTTGCAGAGTTAGTTCTTACTTATGCTGGGCAGTCACAGAGTCTTTCGTTTGAGATGTGGTAGTTATTTAGTTTGTATTTGTTGCAGATGGACGAGATGATGAAAACTGGTGGGATGATATTTTTGGTGATAGTTGGTTGAATTTTAGTTTTTTTTTTGAAAAATTTTATCTTACTAACTGCTTTTTTTGCCATTATCTATAGAATTTCTCTCTATTTAGTATGGGATGCAGGAGTGTAAATTATATCACATGGGGAAAAATTATTTTTGTTCCACTGTAATGCATTTTCAGATATCGATGTTTTATTAACACAACTGACGGCATCAAAGGATGCTATTGGTTCAGCAATTGATCAGCTTTGTGATGATGGAATCTTCTCAGAAACATTATTTTACACTGTTACACGCTCACATAAAATTTTCCCCGCTTTGGGTGGCTTCATTTCAAATGTATTGGTGAAAATTGCAAATAAAAACCATGGAAGAACGATCCAGATTTATGGCCCCATTTTGTACGCTGTGCTGTTGCAAATGCTCCACATTCCTACTTTGTTAGTTATTTCTTAAAAAATCACTCAATAATTTCAGAAAAATTATTGTGCAATAAGACGATCCATCTATATTTCCAAGCTTTTTTTGCAAAGGATAAAAAGTATTTTCACTAGTTAAAATGAAATTTAGATTAAGTAGTGGAGTACGGTTTTAAAATTCTAGGTGTTGTTTTGCTCATCTGTTCCGAAATATAATCTTATTATTGATGCAATAAATCGCAAAAAATGTCCTGACTCCTTGGGATGTGCAATAAGAAATAATGTAATTTAGTAATTTATAGTAATTGAAGTTGAAATTTGTAATTGCAACAAGTGGTAAGCATAATTTGGTTCGTACTTTGGTAAGCAAATTCAGATATTTACATATTTGGGGAATTTGGCGGTAATTATAAAATCATCGATGCTTCTCCTGATTTTAAAATTTTGCATTCTTATGCCTTAAAATTTGGTCTATTATCAAGGAGCTAATTTTAAATTTTAGGCAATACTAACAGGTTTAACACATAACGAATTTGATGAGTTGTTGCAACAGTCACGAAAAGAAGGTAATGATGTACTGGGATCATTACGAGAATATGTCCCATCATTATCGGCGCATCAACAGAAAAAAATTGATCATCATGTTCGAGAAATCATTATGGAATATCGACCAGTGAGCTTGTTTTTGATTCTTCCTTAATTTGACGATTTTTCTAAATGAAAATGACTTTTTCTATATAAAGGTATGAATTTATTAATGGATAGTTGGTGGTCGGCAGTTTTTGCTACCGGATTTGCATAGCAGCTTGTGGTGTCCGTGATAAATAAACATCAGTTTGAGAAATTTACGTATAACGAGAGTTATTTTACCGAAATTTGTCCCAGACATAATGATGTCTATCACAAACTGTATCGACATTGTTTTTTCGCTTCATTTTTTTTTCACTGCTTAGTCCTTGACAATGAGCTTCATTATCTTCATCCAGAATCATTACAATACCCTTAAGTAGGTAAAAAAGAGGGAACTATAATCCTCTCTTTCTTCACCGAATTTTTTTGAAGAAATGTAGGAGACTTTTGAACTCTGTGACAGACATCATTTTTTATTCAGAAAAACGTGAATTGAACTTCATAAATTATATGATTATAAATGATGTGGTGCTACATTTTTGGAAAAAGCTTTTATGAGGAAATCAACCAATTATTATTATAGCATTAATCATACAGCTTTATTCGAATGAAAGGGCAGAAACATCTGTTATTTTTTCAGCCATCATTGCAAGAAGACCAAGGATGTGTCCAGAGGTAAAGGTGAGGAATAGAAAAAATATAACTGTTTTAATGACAAGCTGTTTATTTCTTTTTACGCTACTTTTGAACTTTTAGTAGATATATTTTTTGTTACGAGAAAACATTTGTTAAATAAATAAACTTCATAAATTAAGTTACTATAAATAATGTGATTCTATATATCTGAGAAAAAATTTCCGACAAATGAATTTAAGCTATCTGATAAGTGAATAGAAAAGGATGATTCTTATTTCATGCTTCATTCTAATGAAAAGGTGAATAAGTATTTCGTTTACCTTGACGACAGGTTTGATTATGTACGACTACTACATTTCCTTATCTTTTTGTCTCATTAATGGATTTCTCAGAAAGGAGGAAAATCTACCATGCTTTTAAATCTTATATGAAATGTTGCTTTTAGTTTGCTTGTCTTTCAAACTGCTTTTTTTAGTACAGATCGGAAAACAAGGAGGATGTCCAAGGATCTCAGATGATATTATTCATTATTATATTGTTTTCTTTTTGTTCGAAGTTCATAATTGAGGAAAACAATAAATTATCGTACAAATGTTACAAGCATCTACAAATGTTATCCGTAAATGCGTTGCAATTTACTGTGAATGATTTACATGAGGTGCTTGCGCGTCAGCTTTTTTCTTTGTTTAGTGGCATTTAGCAATGAAATCAGAAGTGCAGAGAGCTTTGTTCAATATAGTTAAAGATCATAGCAGTGATGTAGGGCAGATTAATTCATATAAAAGCGGGTAAAGACTATATTTTTTCGTAGAGGTAATGGACCGCAATTCCGTAATTAGCATTGGTCTCACAGACTAAAAGATATGTGAGAGAATGTCTGTTCAGAGTACAATTTTCAGTTGTATAATGGGGGTGTTACGAAAACAGTAGAGTTTATGAGCTATATGTACGTTTAAGGCTGGTTTAATTGATACAAAATGCACACTAAATAATCTTGCTACTAATTCCCGGGACATGTAGACATATAGTACGACATACGTGAGTTCATATATGTACGTATACGTGAGTCGGTATTGTGAAGTTAAAAATGAGAAGTGAGAGTCACGGTGAGCTGTCAAAAACAATGGGAAAGCCGATTCCATTATTTGTTCATTACGGTTTCGCTGGTGGTGTTTCGTGTTCTGCAATTGTCTCCGTAAATGATGAACCCCATTTGGCAGTTGGCACTACAAATGGGAAATGCACTCTATATTCACCCAGAACTCATTTACGCACTTCCACAGTTTACGGTTAGTTTTGATTTTTAATAAACCACAGTATTACTAGTCAGCTATGACGTATACTTCTTCGACATTAATAGTAAATTTCACTGTTCTCCTTTGAAGCACTTTGGTAAGCATTGGATGACAGAATTACTTGGAGGTAAAATCCATTAGAATCATAAGGTATTGATGAAATGTTAGTATTGCACTGTACTGGATTTCTTTCTTATGTATAGTTAAGCATCTATGTAGAAATGTTTCCACATTATTTAAAATTCTAATGGCAAGCAGATACTAGTTCCAATTAGATGATTAAAAATTAACGAGTAGTTATAAGCGATGTGTAAATTTGAGTACGTATTTCTGAAATATATTTCTGATCCGACGTCACCGAATACAGACACAGGCATTCCCCACCGGACGAATTTTAAAATTTCATACTCGATAGGAGATTAGTCGGTTTTTAACACATTTTTTGTTGCAGCATATGAATTGTTTTTTTTTCTCGGCTCGAGTAATTTACCTCGAATTATTTAACTGATAAGAACTTGGAAGAATTCGGAATGTATGATTGATTATGTTTCCTGATGTATATTGATTATTTTCCTGATATATATTTCAGTTGACTCGAATGGCAGGTCAATAGTAGCAGTAGGACAATTTATCAAAGACTGCGTATTTGTGCATATTCGTGCTTATGCAATTGTACTGTTAGCGGTGAATAAGGCTTCAAAGGTTAAGACTTCTCATTATCGTTTGTTTATATACAAATCATGGTAGAAAGAAGTATTGGATCATTTAGGACAACAGCCGCCTTTTCTGGCGAAACAAGGCTACATACTAAATGCAGCCGAGCACATATGTTCCTGAATTAATTATACCAGCAGTTAATTATTTTAAAAACATTCTTCGTAGGACTCATCTCATCTATTTTATTATTTAGATATTAAGCTTTTGTTCCACAAGGACAATACAAACAGAATTTTATGGTTTTTGTGGTGCATTTTGCCATGCATCTCAGTTATTTTGTCCGTTACTACAGGTACTTCTAATCCAGTTCTGTTTCGTTCTTTTTGTAACTTCAGTTCTCATTTCCTTTTCATATTTCATTTTTCTTTTTTTTTTTTTTTCCAATATATTTACCTTGAGACTGGCAAATGTTTGATCGGCGTTTTCACCAACACAACAGAGCAGATGTCTCGAGTCTGGTTTCCTGATGATAACGCTAGCACTCTTATGGCGTGCTCTATATCTGATAATGGATATTTGGCTTGTGGTTTCGAAACAGGAGAAATAAAAGTTGTAAACGTTGAAGATTTCAGTGTTATAGATAAGGTATGTAGTAAATTTGAGTTAACTAACTTCTATTCACTTTCCGAGTAATCAATTTGTCGGCGATTTCTAAAGTGATTTTGTTGATTCAAAATATTTGGAGATTAATTTTTTTTTCAAGTAATTCCTGTTAATTAAGTAACTCCTGTTAATTATTTAGAGAAAACTTTTTCCCGAACCTATTCTTGCCTGTGCATCATTTGTCAACAAATTAGCTGTATCGTCCGTTAAGTCGCCTTTGATATTAGTAAATGTGAGGATGAATGAAATCACTGTTGAAAAGGAAATTTTGTTCCCACAAAAGTAAGTTTTTGATGCAATATAAGTTTGGGTGTATAGTTATTCAGTGGAATACTTATTTTGTGCACACACTATGAAGTACTTGCAATAGCTGGGATAATTGTCTAATTGCACTTAAATAAAGCAATATATCTTGAATGAATGTGCTGAAAGTTTGAATATGTAAGCCGTATGTTAGTTTAATAATGTCTTCATAATTTGTAGTTATATCCCTTATTGCTGAACTTTTGCATCACTTTTGCAAACAAACACTTCCTGTCATTGATCTGAGTTTCAAGTGTATGGAATAAAATTAGGTGATTGACAAGATATGTCGAATTTAAAATTTAAAACTTTAAGAATTTTTAGTTTAAAACTTTCAGAATATTTTAGTGAGAGCACTTTAAAATTCTCAAAGATTAGGTTGTTTGTTAAAATAGTGCTCGGCATATTTTTGTCGCAAATATTCGTTCTTTATAACAAAATTTACTGCAGAGCTGGTGGCTGCTCTTCTCTAACCTTTTCAAATTGCGGCAAGGAACTTGTTTCTGGATACTGGAATGGAACGGTGCGTATAAATTCCGTGAAAACAGGGACGATACGAGCCGTTCTAGATTTTCACTCTGAAACTATCAGTTGTTTATTCTGGACTAAAATTGATAGTCAACGTTTATTGTTTGTTTGTTCAAAGGATGCGAAATTATCAATATGGAATTTATACAACGATTAAGTTATTAAAACAAATTCTGTTTTATTGCAATCCGAAATATATTTTCATATTTTTCAAATATATTTATTTTAAACAGAACAGATAATCTGTGACAAACATTATGCTTCATATAACAAAACAGCGACTTAATAGATAAGTTGTTATTGAAATGCTTTTGGTTGGCTTGTACATTGTAGACAGTAGATTCTGTTAGCATAGAATCCTGCTACAGGTATGGTAATTTAGATATTAATAAAAAAAGCTGAAGCATTTGTCAAAAGCATTTATTGCATTTATCAGAAGCAAAATCAGAGTAATTTCTAATGAAGTAAGAAATCCAGCCAATCGGTAATGGATTTCAAACAGAAGTTAATCACCAATGATTTCAAGATATTATTTTTCGCAATCAGTAAAGAATAACAATACTTCCACTTTATCCCTCATTAGGACTTTATTCTCCTTAACATCAGTTACTTTCAGTTGAAAATCACTCGGATAAATATCCCTTTCCAAATAATATAATTGTAAACGGGGAAGTCTTTGTTATGTCTCAAAAGTGCAGATTCTTAGTGAACATTCAATCACTTGACGTGAAATAGCATGGATAATTAATTAATGAAATGTGCTGACATTCAGATCGGTAATAAAATATGAAGACAGAAAAAAGGAAGGAGAGAGAAAGAGGAATTTATTTTGTTAGTTGGACAATATCAATCACGGGCTAAATGCAATTTGTATTGGGAAATGGATAAGCAACTGGTGAAAAGCTTCAATTTTATTTTTTACGAAGTAGCGTACAGCCTTTGTTGAGTTTGCAATTTTTCATTGCTCCGAGTAGTGAGGGTGGGTTTTTGGAGTTGGTACAAATTTTGAAGAATTCCAAAAAACCCTAAAATTTGGGAGTAGTTTTACATTTCTGAGAAATACGAATGTTTAATAGCTGGATAATGGTAAATCTTGATCACAATGATCCTTCAATACTAGAAGTAGCAAACTAGCCAAGTATAAGGTATGAATAAGTTAAGCCATTCTATTGCACAACCTTATTTCCAGGGCTTGAATGGCAGATGTATTGGTGTAAGTAACTTCTGCTCACTCTTCCGCGATTCCCTTTGTCAAAAAAGCTGTTCTCACATCAATGTCTTGGTTATCTTTTGCTTCATTCCTGGTGCTATTGATAAACGGTAAAGCAGTAGAGGATCATTGTCCAGAGAGATGCCTATGCTACAAAGGATTGATTGATTGCCATCGGCAGTCATTGCTTGCCGTACCTCGACATTTACCACCAAATACTACTGTATTAGATCTGCGAAATAATCGCTTGATGAAGATTTCCAAGAACGACTTCAAGAATTTGGAGAAATTAGAACTTTTATTGATTTCATGGAATCGGATTCATGTTTTTGAAAAGGCATTTCTTAATAAAATTATTTGTTGATTTCATTTTCAGAACAAAAATTTTAGCCTTTTCGAATTTCAACATTTTTGCAAAATCTTTAAATTTGGGAATAGTTTTACATTTCTCATAAATGCGAATGTTTGGTAGCTGGATGATGGTAAACCTTGATCACAATGAATTCTTTCAATACTAGAAGCAGCAAACTAGCCAAGTACAAAATTACTGTTAAAATTTTGATTTAACTTTTAACAAGCAAAAAAGTTTAACTACCATATAGAAGTGATTCAAGATGCAGTGATTTAACTCGTTGTTTCCCCAGACTGAAGTTCTATATTTTCAACTATTGTAACTATTATTCAGGAGACATTGGATGGAACTTTGAAGCTTAGAAAGTTATTGTTGACAGGGAACCGTTTGGAATCAATTCCAATGTTCAGTTCCCGCTATCTCACCAATCTTCATCACATCGATTTATCAATTAACAGTATTAGTTACATTGAGCAGCAGCTGTTATGGAATGTGCCAAATCTTCAAGTGTTAAATTTAGCCGATAATGCTATTCAGACACTCCCAAAACACTTTTTTGACTATTCAAAGAGGCTCAAAACACTCATTCTAAGCGATAATCCACTGAACTGCGATTGCAGGTATAGATTACTTCATTATTGCATGGTTGAAGTTAATTAATGAGAATTAAAGGATTAATTAATAAAGGACGGAAGAACACTAATATTCCTCAATAATTTAGATTTATTTCCGAAGCCAAATCATCCTTCAAATCGTTGGGAAGAGCAAAAAGAAAGTTGATATTTAAGATCTAAAAACCGTTGCTATTTCTTTAGAATTTGCATGGAATGGTACTACAATTTTTGTTGCGAAACTTTTGGAAATTTATGTATGGGTACTGTAGAATATGAGTTGACGAAGGTTTATTGATAGAGAAGAAGTACTATACGTTACATAAGATTTTTCAGAAATATTAAAATCAGAAAAATTGGAACCGATTGACCCCAGATTGTCTTGAGATTCTTTACAATGCCACATTAACCGAACATTGACCCTTTACAATATGCTGGCATTGCAATAAACTTGATTACTAATATGAGCTGATTTACAACATCAGTACGTTACAGCACATTCATTTATGAATATCTATATTTTCTTTCATCATGGAACTTCACATTTGTTCACGACAATTTTTAGAAATTAATATCTTATACTGCGTTGTTTGAGTGTAATAGCGTTTTCTCTCCGGAATATATTTTTGGCGCATATATGTTTCTAACCATTACCGCTCTCTCGTCTCGAAGCCGCGTTTCATGGAAATTTCTTACAATATCCTTAATATAAATGTCACCCCAGAACAATAATTGGAGAAGTTTTTTTCCAAATGTTTTCAGCAAACGGATCAGAGAGACGTAATTTTACTTCTCATATACTCTGAATGTGTTGTTTAATGTCAACGCATCCAATAAGCCCAAAATAGTTTTAACTCTGGTTATACCTGCTCAAGAAGTGGATCGAGCATACTATATGTAAATATAGTAATTGTTATCATTATAGGTGGTTACCAATAGCTGACTTTATCAGTCAACGATGCAGTATGTCACCGATGTGTCACAATCCGGATACACTTCGTCGACGACGATTCTCATCACTCAAAAATAACGATCTACAATGCTTCGGAGTAAAACTGGCAGATAATAACCGTAGTGCTAAATGTGAAGTTGACGAAGCACCAATTACTTTCATCTACAAGTAATTTTCTCAAAATCTTAGTGCACTTCCGTATCTCTCTCTCCCTTCCTCTCTCATCATCCATTGTTCTTCGGGAATGTTGACCGTTAAACTTTCTCAAACGTTAAAGAAAATAAAGATAACGAGAAATGTTCGAGGAGAAATTTTTCCTTTCCGGAAAAGATAGTGATAGAGTCTCAGTATGGATGCGAGTTATAAAATGCAAGAAAAAAAGATGATTTTTCTGGAAGGTTGTCAGTTTAAAATGCACTTCGAAAAGACCACGAGTATAAGTTTATTCATATCTGTCGGATTGAATGCTACAATAACTTAAAGAAGAGAAAAATTGGATAATGATACGAAAGGGATCAAAATACTACCAAATGGTATAATTTCGTTAAATTCTGATGTTTCATTGGGTGAATTGCAATGCGCCATCGATTACAATACAACTTTCATACGGTAGGTTTTTTTAAATGCAATTTTTTCCTTCAATTTTGCCGGCGCCTTTCTCCTTTCCCTAAATTTAACATTTCATTTTCAAGAATAAATTGTAGCAAATCTCGTCTTCCACGTCAGATTCTTGATGCTCCTTCTGCACCGAAATTTACCCTGAAACCGAAAGACCGTTCATATCGTGAAGGAACCACTGTTCGGCTTGACTGTGAGGTTCTTTTTCTTCATCGATTTCCTTTGAGTTCGAGATGGATTTTAGAAATCAAGAGAAATTTCTTCTAATGATCTTCAGTTCCTGATGATCGAATATAAATAAAATCTTCGGTATATAAAATATTACAGGTAACTGGTAAGCCTCGACCCTTTATAACCTGGTATTTTAATGGCAAAAAGTTAAAAAGATCTCGGAAGTATGAAATGAATCTTGAGCAGACCAGTTTGAACATTCATCCCTTCTTGGAAAGAGATGTTGGAAAGTGAGTTTTTTGAATTTTTAATTCGAAATTGTGATGTTGACAAAAATTAGACCTCGAATATGGTAAAATATTGGGTCTCTGAGAAAAATAAAAAGTTGCGCCTTTTCAAACTGACTAATGCGTTAGAATTATAACGTATTCTAACGTTGGGGAACTATTCAGATATACTTGCATTGCGGAGAATGCATATGGACGAATTGAAACTTCAGCTGAAGCTCATCTTGTTTCCAGCTCGCCACCTGTTATTACAGAAAGTCCAGAAGATCAGAAAGTATTAGCGGGTTCAACCGTAACGTTTCGTTGCCGAGCTGACGGTGAACCTCATCCATTTATTACATGGTTTCTCAATGGTGGTGAAATATCAGTATTGAAAGGACATTTTCGCGTAAATAACTTCAATACATTTATCGAACTTTCAACCTTGCTCTTTTGCTCTTTCCAGACAACACCAATTTCTAGATTTAGGTATCAGATGATGAAATGGAATTGACCATTTCGCGAGTTACGAAACGTGATGAGGGTGTGTATTCATGTATGGCCGGTAATACAGTTGGTTCGATGATTGCTGAAGCTCGTTTACTGATTGATCAGAATCGAATTCAAGATAAACCAATGAATGATCATTTTATCCATGATATATTCCAGCAAGCATCGCAGAACGTTGATAGGTTTGCTTAAAATTGAAAATAATTTGATTTTAATTATAAAAATCCAATAGATTATGGTAGTTAAGAAATATGCGTGGTTTTCCAATATATGCTAGAAATTTATTTCAAAGTTTGATTTTAGTGCTATCGAACAAACACGTGAAAAACTGTCAAAAATAACTGACCCACGTGAGCTTTTGCGATGGTTTCAGTTTTCATTTCCTCAAGCAATAGAACTTAGTCGTGCACGAGAAATATATGAGGAAAGCATACGTCTTATCCAGAAGCATGTCGAAAAAGGTATATTACATTTATATTTTTCATCCGGTCAACACTTCGGGATTTAGGAGCTTCAAATTTCATGCGGAATTGCTCTGATATAAAGCAATCATAGATTTCTTTGTTGTAAAAAAGATATTAACCACATCAAAACTAGGAGACCTCACTTTACAGTTTCAAAGTCATCTGACCAGACATTTAAGAACCAACTTTCTGCAATTTTACTAAATGAGACTTCGAAGGTTTCAGGATTACGAATTACGAGTTGTTTGAAAAGTTAGAGATAGGTTTGATATGTTAAATACGAAACTTTAAACTATCTAGGTCTGACATTGCCTCTCAGTGAACTTCCATCGAACATTTCATATGACTCTGTTCTTGCCAAATCTCATGTTGACATGCTAGTGCAACTAGCTGGTTGCTCGCGAGCGCAAACTCAAGATCCTTGCGATGATCAGTGCTTCCACTCACGTTACAGGTTCCGGTTCATTTCATTATTTCTAGTTAGGAAGGCTGAAATTCCTTCAGATCCGTACTTTTTCATCGATTCTGCAAAGCTTGATACAGTCAGATTTCATCCTCTGCTCTTTGTTGAGTGTATCTTTTTTCCAGTTTTCCGAGGGTTTATTTGAATCGGCTTTCCAAAAAATTCCTTTCGCCGCCACTTACACCCTTTTAAATAAAGCTCTCTTTAATACACCATTCAGAGTTGGCACTTTAAACGACACACTTTTAATTAATAAAAATTTTGAGTGTTAGAAAATTTTAGAACTTATGATGGGCAGTGCAACAATGAAATCCACATTATGTGGGGTGCAAGTCAAACGCATTTCCGACGCTTATTACCGCCAATATATGAAAATGGTTTCAATACGCCAGTTGGATGGAATCCGGACAAGTTATATTTCGGTTATCGCAAGCCTAATGCACGCAGCGTATCCAATAAGGTTGCTCACATGCAGGTCTAAAGGAATTGCATACGAGACGAAGAACTGTATTAATGTAATTGTATTTCAGCTTCTTGGAACTGACCATATCACTCCGCACAAAACTTATTCGGCAATGTTAATGCAGTGGGGACAATTTATTGGTAATTATAAAGGAATTAATTTTTAAATCAGGAATTCGGATCTAAAAATTTAGCTGATTTAAACAATTTCGACAAACTTACAAAAAAAATTCAGATCATGATTTGGACTTTATTGCAACGGCAGTTAGTCGTCAAGCATTTGCTACGGGTGCCATTTGTAATCGGACCTGCGAACAGCTCAACCCGTGTTTCAATATACCGCTGACACATGATGATCCACGAATGCTTGCGAAGTTTATCGAAAGCAAATTATCATAAAAAAAATGAGATGGATTAAATTTTCCTTATAACTCTTAGTAGTCCCATAAATCGATAAGATTTGAGCGAACCATATCTCGCTAATAGCGATGTTTCGCAATATAAGCCAAGTAACAATTCAATTTGATCCTGTTTTCACATTATGTCCCATTAAAATCTTTTTGCAGTCCGCAATATCCGTGTATTGAATTCGAACGTTCGAGTGCAGTATGTGGTTCCGGTGAAACGTCACTCATTTATCGTCATGTTACTTATCGTGAACAAATGAACACTGTAAGTTCCCCATTTTTTTTTTTTCTTTAACTATTCAGGAGCAACGAAACCGTTGATGGAGAGTTTCATCATCGCCAGTAGCAAAACATTGCAGATTACAAGCTACATTGATGCTTCGGGGATATACGGCAGCACAGAAGAAGATGCGTACGATTTGCGTGATTTGAGTCCGGATCGAGGTTTATTGAGGTAGTAGATGTAATATTCTGATATTACCTTATTGCTTTCGCTTTCTTTTGAAATATTTCGATTATTTTTATTTGGTCAAAATTGGAAATCTAAAATATCTTAAGCTACTTGAAATAGAATCAGCGAAGGAATACATAATCGAATTTTATAAATATACATATCTTCTTGTTCATTAAAATGCCATTTTTCCGATTTCTTTTCATTTTGAAGAGGATTTTTCTAATTAATTTCTTTCATACAAAAAGCATAAACAGATATGATATGGTGTCATCAACGAATAAGCCTTACCTGCCATTTGAACGCGATTCATCAGTTGATTGTCGACGAAATAGGACTTTGGATTATCCAGTGCGATGTTTTCTGGCTGGAGATTTTAGAGCTAATGAACAGGTTAGAGAAAATAACTCATTAATGCACAAATTTAGTAATTGAAATAATTAGGTTTACCCCGTTTGCCTAGAAAGGGAATCAATTCTTTTTAATTATTGTTAAATATTAAAATCTCCAAATTTTAGTTTATTTACCATAAAATTGTTTCTTTGCAGCTAGGATTAACGACTATGCATACAATTTTCATGCGAGAGCATAACAGACTGGCAGTCCAAATTGCCAACTTAAATCCTAATCTCGACGGTGAAACGGTTTTTCATGAAACTCGAAAAATTGTTGGCGCCGAATTGCAACATATCACATTTCACTATTGGTTGCCAAAAGTCCTCGGAGAAGTTTGTTTTCTAACATGCCAGTTTGAATATAAATCAAATCGAAATTTAATTTTATTTGGAAAGATAAGATATGATGCTATCATAACTGCAAATGAAAGTAAACTACTGCCAAATTCTGATATTCCCGGATTAATTATCGCCAAAAGACTATATTAACAAACTTTGACATTCTAGAAGCAATTTGATAAGTTGATTGGTGCATATAAAGAATATCAGCCATTACTGGATGCTACTATATCAAACGCTTTTGCGACAGCAGCATTTCGCTTTGGGCATACATTAATCAATCCGGTCCTTTATAGGTATGCATAACTTTAATGTTTTCGTTACTTTTTTTGAAACATCATATTTCCATCAAGTTGAAATATAAATTGTTAGACCGGAATTTTCATTTTACTTGACTAAAATTGAAATGAATTCATATAATTCCGTTTTAAATAATGTTCAAACAATTAAGCAGTTATTCATACATGCCTGAAAGGATGACACGATGATGTAATCACTTTTGAAGAACTTGGAAATAATGAAATTCATAAGCATGCGTTAGGCATGAATAAAATAACAAACGTTTACGTCGTTCGCAGCAATGTGATATTTTCATTCTGCAAATAATGTTTAAATTTTTCACTTTCCAAATTTCGTATTTATGTTTCAGACTTGACGAAAACTTAGCATCAATTAAAGAAGGACATATACCTTTGAAAGATGCATTCTTTGCACCGGAAATTTTATTGTCAACGGGAAGTGTTGATCCATATCTGCGTGGGTTGTTTGCCACACCGATGAAAAAGCCACTATCGAATGAGTTACTGAATGATGAACTCACTGAGAATCTATTCAATAGAGCGCATGAAGTGAGCATAATTTTCTTACAGCCTGACTGGAGCTAATGCCTGAAGCGGTGTTTCTAAGCTAACTTTGAAATCTTGAATACATCGCAGTTATTTTATAAAGCGTGTGTGAATTAGTGTAAAAATGCATAGTAAAGGTGAACTGGTCTCCTTCATCCAGTGACTTGTATTTTTTAAATTTCTTTGATAACAGGAATGAAGCAAATAAAATGAAGCTAAAGTTGAACAGTCTCAACTTTCTGGTAGAAACTCAGTACAACTAATTTCTAAATAGTTATAGGATTTGTCATCCGTTTGTCTCGACAACACTAATGATAAATCCTGTTAATTTGTTGAAATTATGAACAATAGGTCGAGGAAGTGTGTGAATTTTGGTAGGCACTGATGTTTGGAAAATTTTCGTTTTCGTAACACGTTCTATCTTAGGTATCACTGGATTTGGCTGCGATTAATATACAACGAGGTCGTGATCACGCTCTTCCTGGGTAAGGAGGAACCTCATTTTATCTAAGTGGAATTCCGCAAAATTTGCGCTTTCGAATTATGTTTAGAATGACCTGTTTTAACGTGGTATGCCTAATATCATATGAAAAGGCCTTTCATGTTTCTCTTTTTAGGTATGTTGAATTCAGGAGATGGTGTAACCTATCAGCAGTAGAAAATTGGGACGATTTGAAGAATATAATACCACGCGAAGTCATTTACAAGTTGAAAAATTTATATGGTCATCCAGGTTGGAGCTTTTCATTCCTATGGTTATATAAAAAAAAAAAGAAAAGAAAGAACTATTACTTATGGTTCCCTTTTAATAAAAGGGAGCAAACTTCTAAGTTTCATATGAATTCTTCTAAAGATTTGTTGATAATCTGTTCTAAAGATTTATTTGATTGTTAATGAAGTGATCGATAGTGCGGCTAATCAAAAAAAGACGTTTCTCTATCTGTACTTATCAGGTAATATCGACTTGTTCGCTGGTGGTATTGCAGAAGAACGACTCGATGGAGCATTAGTTGGTCCAACATTTTCATGTATCATTGCTGAACAGTTCAGACGCGTACGTGATGGTGATAGATTTTGGTTTGTTGAATTTTTAAGTGGATTTTAATTTTAGCGGTGCATTTTCGATTTTATTATTTAATTTTACTACTAAAGTGCAAACTAATGAGGTACAGCTTTTAGGTACGAAAAAGAGGGTGTATTCAACAAAGCTCAAAGGGATGAGATAAAAAAGGTATCATTGGCTCGAATTATTTGTGATAATGCTGATAATATCACTAATGTACAAGTAAGCACTATACGTTATGTTAATTTCGTATGAACTTCAGTCATGTTGCTTATTTGTTTGTCGTTGACCTGCAGTTGCACATTGCAGTATGCAAGACTCTAGGGCTGACGGATCCTGAATTGTATCAGTTGGCTGTTCAAGGCAAGTGAAGCGCAGTATTTCCATTCATCCGCATTAGGTTATGGAGTGAAGCCTGATTTTATGGCTCCGATAACTGATATCTAATCATAATCCTTATTAGAATGTACTTATCGTAAAGTAGTAAAATGGGATAAGTAGTAACTACATTCTAAGAATTCCTCCACTTTCCCTGTTTATTCGACTTTCCTTTTTCAGAATGACGTTTTCGTATTCGTCGGCAGACATCTTCAATCCTACAACTCTTGTGCAGATATCCAAAAATTGGATTTAAAACCATGGCAGTTTTGTTGTTATCATTTGTGTCCGATAGGACGCAATCGATACAGAAGAATATATAGGCTACGGTAAGTCACTTTTCCCAAACATACGAATTCTTGAACCTCGAACCAAAATTCTCAATTCCTGGATGTAAACTCGCATGCATTTTCTTGATGGCACACTGCAGTTAGAATTTCTTTCTTGAAAGATGTATTTTGCTTAGTATCATTTTTTTTTGTAGGAAGCGTGATATTAATCAGTGGAATTATTACAAAAACCCGACACAACTTACTGGCCGGTCAAGGATCTAGAAGGCGTTGCGTTGCAGTGTTATTGACAGTTGTTACTGGATACATGAGAAATATTCCCTCAATTTCTTGAAACTTTGATAGAACAATGTTTCAGCGATAATATACAATAAATTCGCCAAAATCTGCGTTCTATTAACAAAAAAAATCTAAAACACCCAATAATTTCTCCCCACCAGAAAATTTATTTAAAATCTTTAGAACCGATACAAATTTTTCTTCCTTACCATCACCAAAATTCGCTTTCCGTTCTAGAATGACAGCTTCTGATTAAATTGAGATCTTTTAAGTTTGGTCTCAATTCTGTCCAGGAACGAAAAAATTATTTATGATACAGTACATTTAATAATATTCCTCCAATAAATATATTGTCCAGCCAATAATAATCGATTACACAGAAACACTTTATACAAAAAAAAAAAGAAAAGCTAATCCATACAATATAACGAAAAAAAGTTGAGATCAATAATGAGATACGTACATGCATGGTATCTTCGTTCACAATAGTGTGAATAAAATTTTAGTTCGCCGTGAAATTTTAGTTTAGTCCTCAAATCACGCGAACTGATGATCAGTAAAAAGTAATTAAAGGGATATTAAATATCAGTTTTAACACAAAAAAACATATTGAGTTCCTGCCGGGCAAATTAATATGAAATAAATTTTACACTCTCCATTAAAATGCCATAATTCAAAGGAACTCCAGTTCCATTCAGAGAAGCCCCCGAGTTTTCCCTCCCACTTCGACATAATGGTTTATAAATGGTGAAGGATTCAGATCAAAATGCATAGTATAACGCCAACAGAATCAGCATTTGATAGATTCAAATAATAGAAAGCTTGAATTTCAAAGGAAAAACTGTGCAGAAAATCCATCTTACAAGAATTCTCTGACAGTTTTAGCATATTTAGATGTCCAATCTCTCATGAAAACTGCATTTAGCGACTTAACGTGTGTTGACGAGATGAAAGAAATTCCAACACCTGCACTACTGATAAAGTAATCAGCTGCCCAGTTTGACGTTCCTAAAAAAAGATGTTTTAGAAAGTTTTTTTTTCTTCTGAACGATTCAGTCTTCTCAAATACAACTCAGACTAAGTAACTTACCAAAATAAGCAATTTTCTCTGTAACCATGTACTTATTATGATTTACAAGAGTATGAGAAATTTCTTCGTGAGATTGATTCACTGGAATTGTAAATAGCTTCTGCAAAAGTCTTCAAGTTTGTGTTAATGTGGAGAAGAAAAAATTCAGAAAAGAAAACTTATTAAGAAAAATTATAAAAAAAACTTAGAACTGTTACTGCAATCTTCCACATGAAGATTTAAGAAATTTTCAAAGAAATTTGAAGATATGACATAATCTCCAACTATTCAATCATCTTTACAAACAAGTAGCATTAAGTAGCAAAAATCAGTGGGATAAACAAACGACAGACTCCAAAAAGAAGACCTGAACCAGGTGTACTGCTAGTAACCAGCATGATGCTAGCATCAGATTTCTCCCTTTAGCAAAGTGAAAACAAGATCAATTATAATTAAGAGAGAGATTATGAACAACTTAGATGAAGTTAACAGCCCTGTCAAAAATGCCTACCACTTCGATTTTCCCGGAATGGCTTGCGATTCTTGGCATACCATCATTAATTTCAAGCAATGATTTCAAGAAATGAATCATTTCGGGTAGAGAATATTTCCAGTGACTCACCAACAACCGTACATTCACTCCACGGTAAGCTGTTGCACGTATTGCATTATCTAATTTTGGCCAATATCTGCAAAATTATTGAATCTATGATCAAGTGCGAATAACAAGAATTACACCGCAAGAAAATTCGGTGTCTCATTGCTATCGGATGCCAAAGGTATTGATGTTTAAATTTATAAAATGACTACCTCAGTACTATGAGTCCTAGTATTTTCTGTCTCCGGAATGATTACACGCTACTATTGATCAAAGATAGTAAGTTGCGCAAAAAAAAATAAATGTTTTGTATTTTTTTTTGCCACCGTTTTTACCACTTATTTTTCATCATTGCTGAAAACAAAAATAAACTGATAGTCATTTTCATATTCATATGACATAATCTTAACATTTATTTCTCTTTTTCATTCCTTTATTTTTCCTCCAAAGAGAACTTCTGGATGAATCGTACACTGCTTCCGTTTCCTTCGTTCTCATCCTCCTCCATCATAGGCATTACATTATAGAAGGAATGAGCGCTAAAAGTCAGTAATACAAAACTTTCAAGGAGGGAGGGAATGCAAATGGAGTTTGGGAAAATTGGTACCCGAAAACATGCAGAAAGGTGATCAGGAGGAGCGATAAAAACTAAAGCTCACTATTCCATCTCGATAATATAGTTTTATCATATAAATAATCGTGATAATATAATATAGTTTTAACATATTTTCAAAATGAAGAACTACAGATTTCGGAAATTAGCAACTAACATATTATTATTAAAAGTTCTATAAATAGTTGCAGGCATGTAATCCATCACCGATATATGGACAAATTCGCGTGCATTATCCATCACTGCAACGATTGCATCACTATCATCTTCACGTCCTTTCGCACTGAATTGAGGAGGAGAACTCTGAATAAAGAATGGTTATAAACATTGTTTCTTCAGTTAAATGACAACTATATTTCGATGTCTCTTTTTTTTTCTCGCTTAGAAGTAAGTGAGAGATAAGCTGCTGATACCAAATGTTGCATACATAAATTTTGAATTAATTTCTAAGGTTATAGAAAAGAATTAAAATCCAAAAAGCATAATATTGGAAGCATACAACCAAGATTCAGGATAATAAGCAGGACTTTTGGGTCATTCAATTCATTATGATTCTAGTATAAGTGCAGTCAAAGAATCTTTTAAAAGATACTACTAGATATCAGAACATTATATTTGATGTCACACAGTTATTAAACTACCTCCGAGTGAACTCGAGATAAATTAATTATCAACAGTTAGTAGAAGCGTAATGAAAAAGCGTACCGATATGAATACACTGGTGTCTGTAGCACTAAGAAGTTTAAGTGGATGTGAGAAATTGAAATAAGTTCTTAAATTCAATGGCCATTTATGGGGAATTTTTGCTCCTCTAACTCCAAGACGCCAGTAAATATTGAAAATTTTATATAAATCATTTGCTATGCAAGTGCAGTTCCAAATTACAACGCCTAGTTCTTTGACCTGAAAACTGATCCTTTTTATCGAAATTGTTAACCAAATAATTCCCTGAACAACTGTTCAACATATAGAGTTTCCATAGTTTTTTTTTATCATCATGCAGTGAAGGCTTCTTAAACCTTACTTCAATTTTTATTGCATAGAATACGGAAAAAATTTTTTTGATGATAAAAGATGATTTTTAAAAAAAAGTACCAATAAAGTCACCTCTGTAAGGGATTTCCAGTCCATGTTAGCTGATCCAATATAGACATGTTGAGAGTCAACAATCCAGAATTTGGCATGAAGAATCCCATTCTCATCCATCAGTTTCGATATATCCAGATTTCGCACTGCCGCATAACCTATAACAAACGGAGAAGAAGATGGCCAACCTGAACTTCTGATCAAAATCTTAGAACATATCATCTACACATGTAATTGGGAACTTATCCTCATTCAAGCAACAAAATAATGTCAGAATTTTTATAAGGATAAAGATCAAAAATTAGAAACAAAAATTTGAAGTTGGAAAGAAAGATTCCAAACGATTTAAATTGCAGATCACGAAAAGAAAAAGCTCTGAAGTTAATATCACATTCCAAATTCAATGGTTACGCCCACTTTTAAAAATTTTCGCATTTTTGACACGAAAACATATATGAGCATTTACGTCTTACCATTCTCAGCAAAATAATCCGAATCGAGTTGTGGAAATGTTGCGGTTGGTTGACTTTGTACTATTCGTATCTATACAGAAAGAGCTATTTTTACTAATATTGCCATCAATTGGGCACGTAAAATGACAATTAAGGTGTTACAAAATTAATTCTAACAGTAAACAGAAGCAACTATAGAAAGTTACCACAAGAGAGGGGAAAGAGAAATACTGTCTTTTCTGAAAAACATAAAACCAAAACCTCAACTGATAGAAAGAGAAAAAAGAGCTAACCCGTACACCACGCTCAGCAGCTGCAATGAATCTTTCGAATGTATCATTTCCCTGCAAGACTTTGCAAACAATTAATAAAGTACAGCTCTATCGACCAATTATAACATCCCATAGCATAGTTAATAAAACTGATGTCTTGAAGATTTCTCACAAAACTAAAGGGATCCCATATCCAGTCTCGTTCCTTCTTAATTTTTCCTCTTTCTTCTTATTTGGTCTATCGGATAGAACATTTTAATAAAGTGTGAGTTTATATACTTTGATAGCGCATAAGCTCACATCTTGAAAATACTGCAAACGTTACAGCTAAGAAGTCTATTTTCTACGTCACTGTCAGGTCAACAATATCTGCCTAATTAACACAGTTATTAGCCTTCAGATAAGAACTGTTTGGTTGTCTTAAATGTGAGAATATCGTGGATATTTATTCGACGAATCAGATCAAAAGTATTATCCTGACAGCATGGAAAGTATATATAAGAGCTGACTAAAGTATAATGGAGAAAAATTGACTGAAAAACAAAGATTAATATCAAGTTATGTCGAGTAATCAGAGTGCATTGGACAAAATTTCTATGCGGCGTACATATTTAGATTTACCTGCCAAGAGATTGAATGTGCAGCGGGATCACGAAGATTCCAGTAGAAAGACGCAACATCAATCGAAATTCGTGCGTCGTCCAATAACTGTTTCCAGACGTCATAGGTTGACAAACTCGTAAGGCTACTATTGTCAAAAATCAAAATCGATGGTATAGTTTCAACCATCTCCATTCTGAAATAATCTATTAATCAAGGATGTGAATTACCAATTAATAAGTAATTTCTTATCTCTAGAAATGAACTAAAGTCCAAAAGCCTTTAGGTATCGAACGAAAATCACATAAAGCTAGAAGCAGAGGCAAAAAACATATCAGCTGATGCTTGACATTCATTCGTAGCTGATATTCATAGCTTAGATAGCAAGCTCACGATTTTTTTGCACTTATAGTAAAACTATTAGTACTTACTACCACTAGAGCTAAATAGCATTAATATGGAGAAAAATAATAATTCACTTCTGGAAGTTTTTGTTATACTACACTTTTCTAGTTCCTCAGTGAAGAATGTAGTTATGCTTAACATTAGTTTTTTAAACCTTTTCTTAGAAAAATGATCAACTTGCTTGTGGTCTTTCATTTTCTAGTTTACCTGACATCTTTTAATTAATTTAATAATCAGCCCTAAGCAATAATCCGATAACAGCTAAGCGGTCCAATGCATTTACCAAAAATGCAAAAACCTAACTCTTAAAAGCAATAAAAAGCAAGCCTGCATTGATCGGTACAATAACCACTTCGATCGTAACGAATAGACGTCGTATCAAGGCCATCTTCGTTGAATAATGGGAAAAATACAATTAAAAATATGAATAACGATATAATCGATACTGGAACACATGCTGGTTTGATGATGCTATGTTGACAACACTGTTCACTTTCTTCCTGCAATGTGAAGAGAATCTATTTCTCGGCTCAGTCTAAAGATGATTTCATTAACGAACTTAATATGAGTACAATGACTTATACAGTTATCCTCCTGAATTAGCATGTGTCAGTTTCTCATTAAAGCTTACAAATCCAGTTATATGAAGCTGAGCAAATAACCTGAATCAGTTGCACTTAGTGTATGGAACTAGCTCATAAAATTCAGAAACTATAGTTATCTGACCATATTAGGCTACACAGTTACTATAACTGCTAAGTCATAATGAAATGTAGGAAATCCAATTGGATAAGTTCTTAATCGAACACCAAAAACGTAAAGATCCCAATTTAATTACAGTCAGTCCCTAGTACTAGCTCAGCGAAATTGTAAAAATGAAGACAGACCTTTTCCAAAGCATATGAATTTATCTTTGTGTCGAACAAATCCATCTCAAAATTGGTCATATCAGCACGACCATCTTGGGTCTGAAATTTAATTTTATAAATGACTTCACGAATGGAAATAGGTGAACTTACATATTACCTACACCACATTCTATAACTTATTAATAAGGAAACGTACATGTCTATTTCCTTTGCTTCCGCTACTCGGACAACGCCATGCGAGGAACTGTCAAAATTTATAAATAAAAGTGGAAACAGTTACGCTCAATGTTTTCTTTTCTCAGCAAAACGATCTTTCCCATAATTTATCGATAGGTTTTTTTACTGCTCACATATGTATGTGTAATTAACTTCATCTGAATTATTTTCTATTGGAGAGTAAGATTAAGAATGTAGCCGAATGGAAGTGAGTAACACGAATAATGACAGCATGACACTGGTGAAAGTGCTGTGTTAAGGGACGACTGCTTCTCTTCCATCAGACTGTTATTAGAAAGTTTTGAAATTTAAACAGCCATTTACTAGTATAAGTATCTACTCACGGATCTTGAAGAATTTCTAGATAATAAATCAAGAGAAAGATGGACCTACATCCAAAAATGAAAATAGAAAAATGCGAAAAGAGAGGACTTACCTCTCCGATAGGTATCATCGCAGCTCAGGCCACTCGACGACCTCTCCCTCATTCAACAAGTTAACTTTCTACCGCACAAATATGTACATGCTTCATTGTTGCATATCCCTGTACCCTTATGCATTGCTGGGTATGTATATATATATGTGTGACAGATGAGACAAGTGAGGCATTGTGGTACGAAATGTCGGGCGAAGGGCATTTGCGCACACATCGCTCTATCTGTCTTTGGGATGAGAAGGTTGGCTAGGAAGAGGTCTGTTGGCATATGATCGATTTGTGAGAGAAGTACCAACCTTGTCCTCTGTTTTGATGCTTTCTAGGCCTGACAAAGGTATCGATGAAGTTGAAGGGATTTCGAATTTCTAATTGAAATAAAGTTGTCGTGGCGGAACAAATTTAGGCTTTAGATTAAAATTATGGTATGTATTTGCTGTTGCAAGACTTATATATCAGTGATTGCGCAATAATTAAAGTTGGAGTTTAAGGGACTAAAGATCAGCTTAAAGGAAGGCGAAATAGAGAAAAATTGGTTCTCAGCATTCACAAATTAACATATGCTTGACGTGGCGTGCTGTACAGACAAATGATTGTTGGCCGAAGTGGACATTCGCCGTGAAAAACTATGCAAATGGAAAGCCTTAAAACAATTAGTAAAATAGGTCAACGATAAGTAATTCCATGGAAGTAATTATATTCATAGAAAAATATTAAATGGATAAAAAAGTTCCGAATTTAATTTGGAAAGCTCCATAAAACCTAGTTTACGTTGTAAATAGCCAAGCATCGTAAATAGTGACCAAAGTTGGCGAATCCGCTTGTGTTGGATACGTCGTAGATACCATATACGGTAATAGGTCTTACGTATACTAACGTAATCTTTTTTAGGGAATGTACTGTAACTTTTTGCAATAAAACATCAGTGTCATAGAACATGTAAAACACTGCTGATATTTCACAAGTGGCGTAAATTCACTGACTGAGAAATTAGTTAATATTTCTGGCCTAAATTATGGTAAAATCAAGAAAATTTCCAATAATTATAATAGAACCCAAACTTAATCAACATGGATATCAGACTGAAAAAAAAAAAAAACAAATTAAGCGATATCCTAACAAAATGCTCAACAAACTTCACAGAACTTTGACAATTACCGTACTACCGGCGATGCGTGTTTCCTTCATTTACCGGGAAGGTAATCAATCCTAAATGCCATTCAAAGTTGTAGGTATACTCAAAATTAAGTTTTTAACATTGGGTTTTTAAGAAATATTAATTCCAAGAATATTTTGAAAAAAAAGTGAATTTAAAAACACGCATGTCTATTGCTTAATTGCTTTCTGATAAAAAGATTAACTGAGCAAGTTTACGGTAGAATGTTTGCATTTTTAACACTAAAGACACGAAAATTACTATATCTTGATCGTAATACGAGATCCTCTCTGTCGAAGATAACGACGACGCTAAGAAATCTCATTGAAGAGTAATAACTTGAGAAACAAAATGCTCTAATCCATAATATTTTAGTGTCCTGTTTCGTTCAACAATATACACCCTCATAAAGGGGAAAAATGCTTAAAAAAGTGTTTGATGAAGAAGTATGCAGTTGAAACGTCACTTCACATTTTATTAAAGTATAATCCACACACCAAGGCAGTGATAACTATAAAAACGGGTGATAGAAGTCAATAAGCAAGATTAAATTTACAAACTCAACCTTTTAAAGTAAGATTAAATTCATATAGTGATCGGGTCGATAACAGCCGAAGTTTATTTTTTATTCATCGAATCTACCATAACTGTGGTCAAACTTTTAATTTTCAGAATTTAAAATTATAATCACAAACTATATAAGCGAGTTAATCCGTCTAGAAAATGCGCATTCTTTAATCTTTGATATCGGTCATTTCCCCGCTAAAAGCCATTCACACATTTCTAGTATGTTATTCTAAATCCTCAACGGTAACAAAACTGAACATGACTTCACATACATTCCATTTGCTTTTCACTTGAAATCTTTGGTATCGGTTATTCCCAGCTAAAACATCAATGGAATGATCTTTTCCAACTAAATGACTAGTGAAAACAGCAAAAAATAACCGGAACTATGCCACGCACCATCTTAGGAACTTGCATACTACTGTAACTTGTAAAAATATCATTTAAGCCCCACGCCGATAAGCTTTTAAAAAAGTATAGGTGGTAAATGCCATCGAAAAGTAGCGACTTTAACAGCATGCTACGCCGTAAACACTTCAATTGCCATGCGTCAAAAACGATGTGATACTTCCACCAATTCACTACTTCTCAGCTGTCACCCAATGAATTAATTATAATGCACGTGCACGAATCAACTATGCAAACAACATATGAGTACGTTAAATCCGTGCAGAGAACAGGATCTCTTTAGCTGCATAACTGTCACCGGTCAAATTATGAGATGGGAAAACTAACCTCCCATGCTGTTGTCATTCCGCACTTTTGATTTCGACTTCTTTTGCACAACCGAAAGATAACTACGAGTCAGTTTTGACGCATCACTGAATGCTCTTCAGCTGGAGCAAACAAACAGGAATACTTATTATACACGTCATGTATTAAAGTAAATCCGCATTAATCAAAACAATGCCATAATTATCGTACCAAAAAGTAAATGAAAAGCGCCGCATAACAAACCAAAACGGAATACATACGAAATTGAAAAGATGAAAATAGAACGCCATATAATTAAAAAAAAGTACAGTAACGAGATCAACAAAATCTCATTTAATATTGAAATTTATAGTTTCAATTAGCGAAGTTTGCGACTCCTGCTTACAGAGTTATGATATGGCAAATTCTGTATGAGGTTCGCTCACAAAAAGTGCTGCCAAGTAAGCTCAAATTCAACAGCAGATATTATTACAATGGAAAAATGTACCATCGCAATGGGCGAATCAATTTCGCATTAATAATTATCATCGAAATTAAAATAGCCTTGGATACGTAACACACCCATAAATGCTTCAAACAAAAGGATATCGTTTGCAAAAAAAATTACAATATTTAC